GAAAAATATACCAATATAATATCGCAATGTAAAGAACACAATAGAAAAGGTACCGCCCTTGTTCCAAAACCCTTCCCTTCACACTCCCGTGTTTGATCCCGAAGTGAATCCCTATCCGAGACAAAAACCTATCCAAGGAAAAATAAAACAGTTGTGACCAAAAGCAAATCGTATGAGATCGCAGTGCCAGAATGAATGAAATGATGCTGGACGGTTCGTTACGGTGTCGCTTAGGCGATGTCGTCTTTATATCCAAACGCCTGTTATCTTGAATGTGCGAAACTGCATTTAGAAGTCTTCAAAAAGGTGGCCGTATCTGGATTGTAAGTTAGAATATGCTAGACAGTTGAGAGAAATTGGGAACAAATCTGCGTTGGTTGGCGGGGCTTACTCGTCGTTTCCGGCTTGGCCGTAGCGTTCGGTCTCCTCAGGGTAGCGATCGAATTGGCTGGCATCGCCGGCACCGACCTTGACTGGCGGCGTGTACGGGGCATCGATATCTTTTCGGGCCAGGCGGTCCCAGGTGACTTCGGCAAACCAAGGGTGCTTCTTGACATCCTCCGGACCTCCGTACAGGTTGCCCAGCCGCTTGGTCAGATCAGGCGTGATCAAGCGCTCGAGAAGATCCTGGGCATCGGGGTGCACGTACGCCGGGTACTTCACCTTGCCCTTGAGAATGTTTTCGTAAATCTTCATCGGGCTGCCGCTATCCCAGAATGGTGTGTATCCGCAGAGCATTTCATAAATGAGGATACCCAATGACCACCTATTACGCTGTTAAAATTTACTCGTGGCTCTCCATATTTTGCGATATTTCGCGGTTGTCAAGCAAGCCAAGCAAAACAAATGAGAAAACACCACTCACCAATCAACTGATTTGTTGTAGCCCTTGTTGGACACGACTTCTGGGGCGAGGTAATCTGGCGTGCCGCAAAGTGTCCACGTCTTGTCCGGAACGCGCTTAGCGAAGCCGAAGTCGGTTATTTTGAGATGGCCGTGGTGGTCGAGAAGCAGGTTTTCTGGCTTCAAGTCACGGTAAATGATGTTGCGCGAATGGAGGTACTCCAATGCTAGTGTGACTTCTGCTGCGTAGAACTTGGCAACAGGGTTCGGGAAGCGCTGTTGACCCGCGAAGACGACGTCGTTAGTAACCTATTAATCTGCTCGCCTTTCGTACCACCTCCAAGCAGCATGCCCGCGGAGACTTACAGCTGATTTCCGTAGTAGTGAGAATAGCTCACCGCCTTCGACAAAGTCCATGACCATGTACAAACTTCTCGCATCCTGGAACGTGCCCCAGAGTGTGATCAGGAAAGGATTCTTGACCTGGGCAAGCATGCGTCTTTCGTCGTTTGTGTGCTCCACCTGCTTCATGCGGACGACCTGGGCCTTCTTCAGGACCTTGACAGCATAGAACCGCTGGTTGTGCCTCGACTGGACCAAGTGGACACGACCGAAACTACCGGTACCGAGTGTGCGTAAGATGTTAAAGTCGGCCAGGGAGTATTTGCCCTTGGTCACCCGAGGCAGATCGACTGCATGCTGCTGAAGGTTGACTGGCTGTCCAGGGTGAGGATGGAACGCCGCTTGTTGAGCTTGCTGCTGCTGTTGCTGGGCCTGAGGCAACTTCTGTGGGACCTGGGTCGCCGGCGTCTGGGAATCGGCTGTGGTCGTCGGGACCGTAGAATAGGATGGCGGGTTTGTTGGACCTTGCTGGTAGGTCTGCTGAGCTGTCTGACCATTGTGGGAAGGGTTGATCAGGTTTGAGATGGACGGCAAATTTGGGACCTCGGTACCAGGCGACGGTGTTGACATCGGTAGGTTCACAGGCACCAGGTTTTGGGCTTGGTGCTGCTGTGTCGAGTCCATCGTTGGTGCAGCGGGAGCCGGCACTAGAGCCGGAGCTGGTGCGGGGCCCTTGGCTGTTGAGACGGAGGCCGGTGCGCTCTCCGGATGCAGTCCCTGCTGACTAGATTGTGATCCAGCGGTGGCGGCCGCAATGGGTTGTGTTGTTGTTGAGGCTGCGGAGGCGACCGACGCGATGGAATTGGAGGGCTGTTGAAAAGCTTGCTCGAATGTCTTTGTTGCAGTTGGCGTAACTGGGCTTGTCGGTTGACTTCCTGATGTTGAGTCTGGATTGGCGTCTCTGGTGCGCTTTTTCTTGAGGAACCCTAAGCTCGGCATGAAGAAAGATAGCTTGAAAGCTGGGGTAGAGGCAAGGGTCGAGCTCGTGTCGCAAAGCTTGGATTGGACGAGTAGGCGTCTCGACGACAATTGCAGACTTTGCACAAATACGGCAATGCGGTCGTTAATTAGTCTGCTTTTGTGAGAAAGCAAGCTTGGATGGTTGGAGTGCGACCGACGTTGGTTTGGCTGAGAGTTTTAGCAGTCGTGTTCTTTCCAAACTGCGCTTCTTGTTGTATGTGTACTCCGTGGAGGTACTGGGTCGTTCAAGTTCGTCCGAGTGAGGTGCTCCAAACGCAACTGGATTGGAAGCGACGAGAGAGAAAAGCAGCCAAGTCAGGAACCGAAAAAAGAGATTGAGGCAAGGAAGCTGGAGGACGAATATGTGATAATGGCAGGATGCGGCAGTTTGTGACAGTGGAGAAACGATGCAGACACAATCGTCGATCTGTCAAGTCAGCGAACTGCAAAGACTAGACTGGATTCGTGCCTCGGGTTCCGGTCACAGTAGGGAGCTTCTTTCGTAGCTTTTGAAGGTCCCCCCTCTTCGATGTCTCACTCTCTTTCTCTCGTCTCTCAACTCTTGCTAAGCGGGCCACGTACTTTGAGAGGCTGAACATGCGGATATGCACCTGTGCGCAAAAGTGTGTCGAATTGCCTGTCGGAAGGCAAAGATAAAACGAATCGATGAGCGACGCAGGCTCAATGGGGCCGAACAATGGGATTGAGGGGAGGAGAGAAAGAAGGAAGATACCGTCCAAAAGCGAGATGCTGGGATAATCGCCGGCTTTGGTGGGGTGGAAAGCTAGGACGTAAGTAAACCAATTTACTCCGGGCCAAACGTTGGCACGTATTAAGTCGCAGAGGCAAAGAGCAGTAGCTTCGATTGAGCTACGTAAGATGACCGAATTGCGAGGCCAAAAAGGGCGAGCTGTCTTGACGGTTAATGCCAAAGTTGACCAAAACAAACGGTCTGAGAATGGCGACTGGCTAGGAAAGGGACGGAGTTGCAGTGTTTCCACCTTCCCCAGTGCTTGCTTACAGTGTTTTTGCCAGGCAAGTCGTGGGGCTGTCGAATCCTTTGGACTGGAAAAGAGCTGTGGTGAGGGGCAAGGCACGACTGTGATGGCGGAACGGTTGCTTAGTATGAGAGATGCGGCTTTCACTCTAGGGGCGAGGCGAACCTACCTCGGAAACAGCAGCAATTGGGACACAAAATATGGCGAGAGAATTGGGAGCGACGATGTAAAAAAATCTTAGGTAGTAGGTAGACAGAGAAGGTGAAATAGAAAGAGTATGACGAGATGACAATACAGGGCACCGTGGTCGGGCGAATTTGTTCCTTTTTGTTGCTGTCGCTATTTCTGGCGCGAAGCTGCCAACCAGGACAAGTACTTTCTACTCGAGAATAGGTCAGCTTTTTGCAGCCGCATCAGAAACACAACCCCAAGTCCAACAGGGAAAGGCGCTGCCAGGTGGAGCGACATAAACGAGGCAACGGCGGCCAGTCACAAGTGCTAGGTCGATCGAGGATCGGTTTTGGTCCAGGACGTGAGCAGGCAAGCGTCAAAATTACCGAGGAGAGACATGCACAAGTCGAACTCGAACCATACCAGACAACGCAGAGGTGAGGCTAGATTATGAGCGCCATAACCCCCAGCTGACGAGAAGGGACTCGAAGGGGAAACGGTGCGATGGATGGCGTATTTGCTTGCTGCAAGCTGCGGCTGGCTCTGGCGTCTTTTCCTGGCAGCAAGCGTCGGTAGCGGGGTGGAGGAAGAGGAGTGGGGGAGACAGAGAGAATGTGGACAGGGAGAAAGACAACAAAGACAGAGGAGGATCAAAGGACAAAAGAGACAGAATAACACAGTTAGGCTGCCTCGAAGAGAAACAAAAAGGCGCACAAAACGTTCAATTGTGTTTTGTCGACGACCGGTCTATACGCAGTCAGGGATCGGTCTGTCCATCGAGGAGGAATACGCGTCGATGTGCTTCGAGGACAGCACAACACAGGCTAGCTGTGAAGTGCTAAGCTGGACGGGAGAACGGAAACAAGGCGACAATGGTGCGGAGTGTCGCTGGCGAGATGGGCTGATTTGACGATAATCAAGGAGGGGATGCGATGGGCGTGCGCATAAAGTGTGCGAGCAGAAATGCGAGCGGCAGGTGCTACGGAGTGCAACAACGCCGAGTTTGGCCTTGTTGGTTGTTCCTTCTCTGCTTAGCGCCAATGGCCTGCATCTACAGGACAACCCTTGGTCTTCGAGGAAAGAGCGGAACAAGAGCTGGCTACATACGGCTACGAACGCGGAAAATGGGCAACAGCGACAAAACAAAAGCGGCACTTCGCCGGACAGAGAAGGAGCCGGGGGCGAGCTCAAAGGCAAGAGCGACCGGGCCAATCATTCGAAGCACAGGATAGATGCGACGTTGAAGAGCACTCGAGAAAGACGGGGAAGGAGCAACAAGAACCCGGTTGTAAGGCAAAAGTAAGGCAAAATAAGGCAAGGGAGGGGTAGTGGGGGAAGAGCGAACAAGGCCCCAACCAAGTGAGGTTGGACGGCCTGGCAATGGCTGCATGCGTCTTTTCAATTACCGGAGAAGGCGCAGTGGAAGTTGGAGAGGCCACTGTGCTTGCGACGAATGGAGGTACTCGAAAATAAAAAACTCGTCTTTGCTGATCATGCAGTGATAGCTTGCGAAGCGTAATATGCATTGCGGCGCTGGATGTACGAGCTGCAGGACGAAGTAAGAGAGGAATGATGAACGACGAGAGGTAGGTCAATCAAACGGCCTCGACGAGAGGATGCCCAAGCGCTTCCATGCCTCTTTGACTCTTTCATTTCTGGGGTTGCTGGATGACGGAGAAGATATATCGCCTTTAAACTCTTGTCCAAATGGTAAAACGCCGATAGCTTATTTTGAGCTATATCAACACCGCTACTGCAGAATATGGAGCTTGACATTGCACGTCGCACAAAGCAGCACCAATAAGCATGTGGCACATATTCAGATCAAAAAAACCACACTGGGTAGCGGTGGGAGCCACGTGCTATCCCCGTAGATCGGATGGACGGGGTAGACGTACAATGCGATCAGAGATACAACGGATGAATCAACGACAAAGAAAATATAATTGCAGAATGTATATATGTATGTGCTGGTTACGAACTCAACGAAGGCCCTTCTGGTGTGCGGCTGGGCATGGCATGCCCTTTTTTGTGCTTTTATGCGTTTGGGCGTTTTGGGCGTCTTGTGCGTTTTGGGGGGATAGCTGTTTGTTGGGTCGAGGTTGTTGTGATGGTAAGTGTTTCGTGTAGTGCTTTTTGAGTGCCGCATCCTTCAGGTCGGTTCTGTGTCATAACGCATGCATTGCTTCGTCCCCCAGCCACAGCCTTCGCCCTCCTTCTGTCTCTCGCACTGCCTCTCACAGACTCTCCTCCCTCTCTGGAAACTGATTCTGTGTGGATCCCGATCCTGTCTTAGAATCTGTGCGACCGCTTGTTCGTCCGCCATGCGGTGTAGCCAACATAGCCGCCGCCAACAGCGAGGACGACAAGGATAATCTTGGTGAAGAACCACAGCCAGCCGCCGCTCTTCTTGGCCCTGCTCGAGCTGCCTAGACGGTGGCCGCTGGAGCCACCTTTGTTGCCGGGTGTCGCCTTCTCGCCCGAAGACGGGCCGTACAGGCTGCTGACGGCCACCGAGATAAGGTCGTGGTTGTCGCTGAGCTCACCCGTCTCCGCCGAGAAGCCGAGGTAGGTCGCCGGCGGCAGGGTCGGGGGATCGCCGGTCTCAAAGCACAGGGTCCACTCGCCCTCGTTCTTGTACTGCAGCTCGAGCTTGAGCGACTTGTCCTGGAAGTAGGTGAGGCGGAACAGGGTGGGGATGTTGGCGCCGCGGATGCCGCGCGCCGAGCAGCCGGCCAGCTCGTTGGCCTTGCCGTCAGCGTCCTTGTCGTAAGGGGTCTTGCCGTCGCCGACCATGGCCATAACAAAGGGGAAGACGACGCCGGGGCGGTTGTTCTTGTAGGTGTCGAAGAAGATGCCCAGACCCTCGAACTTGTCGACGCTGCCAAAGACGGGGCCCGGCTGGCCCCGCTCCTTGGTCAGCCACATGGCGAAGCCGTCGCCAAACAAGGTGTTGCTACCGTGGACCTTGAACTCGACCTCGATCTGCCAGTTGGTCGCGGTCAGCGGCACGCGCGAGAAGATCCAGCCCATCTGGGACGGGCGGTCTGCCGTTAAGCGGATGTACTGGTCTGTCCGGATCACGGTGTCGCCGCCAAAGTCGTACCACCGGCTCTGCATGTCTGAATCGAGATACGGCTAGACGTTCACGTGGGCATGTTAGCTGTCTGTGCTGTCCGAGCTCTCTTCCTCCCGCAGCAAGCTCCCTTTCGTCTGTCGCCGTGCATGTCTTCTCTATCAATTTGCTTTCGAGCTTGTGCGTACCTGGCTGAGGGAATGTGTCCGAAGCTACGAGACAAAGAAAACGGGTTAGCATGTGCGCGCGCACAAGGAAAGAAGAAAGCCAGCGCTGTCTCGGGGTACGATCAGGAGCAACATACACTGATGCTCTTGATATCATCGTCCACGTCGGCCGCCCACGCGACCACGGCGGCGAGACCCCACGACAGCAGGTTGGAGATGCGCATCGTGCCCGCGATGCCTCTGTGGCAGCAGAGAACGTATGTATGCTAATTCGGCAGCGAAACAAGGCCTGGCTGTTGTCGAAAAGGCGAGAATGGTCAAGGAGAAGCCGTCGAAAACGTGTTGCGCGCGTGTCGACTGAAGCGGGAGTGTCGTCAATCGAAAAGGCGTCGAGGGCGGGCCCAGGGAGGGAGACGAGGAGGTGGTCGCGTTGGCAGAGGTACGCTGAATGGCCGATCAATCAAGGACAGAGAGGCTTGAGTCGTAGAAAACAAACGAAGGTCACGCGCCGGATTTGTCTCAATTGAAAGTCGACAGGAAGGGAGGCTGGTAATAAAAGAAAGAAAAAATGCAGTCGTTCGGAAATGGTGTTTGCACTGCACACATGCTAAGCAAGAGCAAGGAGTAGTTAGGAGGAGGAAGGAGGGAGTGTGTGAGCATGCGTGTCATGCTGTGGCGGTGGAGATGGTAAGCTGGCCTCTTCGTTTGGGTAGCTTTTTTTGGGTGTTTTGGCGTAACCTTGGGGAGCTGCTGGTAGGCTGGACTGCGGTAAACTCTAAAACCCACACGGCCCTTCAGGGGTCTGTGCTCGTGGCGCGGCTAGTCCTTTACAGGGCACCTTTACCCCGTAAAGCCAAGTTAGGCAAGCTTCGTCAGGCGGCGCAGATGTCGAGCCGATAAGATAAGGAACAGGGCTGCGGCCCCATTTTTTCCAGAGGTTCCAGTCCAGCAAATTCTCAAATTCTCACGGGCTTTTCTTTGATGGCTCCCGTTGTATACGATACTGCCGGACTTTGCGACGACCTCTCGACGACCACACGCGCAACTTCGGCTAAACAAAACACAAGCTCTCCACGTTCACCGATCACCCCTTCAATTCTCCCGCTTCCCTTCTCCCCGGCCTCTCCTAGCACCGACAATATGGATAACGAGACGGTGAAAAAGTCCATCATGCAGCAGATTCTGCAGGAGGCCAACAGCGCCAATGCGCGGACATTGATGGAGGTGGGTGGATGGTGCGCGGTGGACAGCCATAGTAGACACAAAGACTGACTTGGACAGAACATGAACCAGCACTGCTTCGACAGCTGCGTACCCAAGCCCGGCTCGTCGCTCAGCTCCGGCGAGCAAAAGTGCGTCAGCCAGTGCATGGAAAAGTACATTGCGGCCTGGAACAATGTCAACGCCGCGTACATCCGCCGGTTACAACAGGAGATGGGCAACAACAACTAAGGGACGTGCACGGAAGCGACCAGCGACGAGACGAAAAGGGGGGTCGCTGCCCTCGTAAGGAATACCGCAAGTGTATAAAAGCGAAACGACGTTATGCATCTGGAAGCCGCGCAGGCACATTGTACCAACATGTCAAAAACGGAGGACGGTATCATGGATAGGGGGAGGAAATGAAGCTTCGCTGACGAGAGAACCTCGCTACTTTTTAATTGCCAGCAGCGGGTGATCCAAGAAAAGCCCCGTTGTTGGGACGGCATATATTCATCAAACATACAAACATACATATGAACACAAGTTAAAAACGCCAATGAATAATGACCAGCGCCGAGAAGAGACAGAACACAGAAGCCCCAGCGTGCTTTGTCCTCACGGCTCCCCGCCAGCGTTTTTGGCCTCGGCCTCGGCGCGCTTTCTCGCCAGGTAGCGCTCTTTGGCACTGGAGATGTCGGCCGTCGTCTTGCGCGACTTGGCCGCGTCTTGCGCGGCTTTCGTCTGCTCGTCCTCCGCGTCGCGCGAGCGCTTGAGCGCCTGCTCGTACTGCGCGGCCAGCATGCGCGATTGCCGGTCGCGCATGGCCTGTTTGCTGCCGGCAAAGACGCCGTCGCCGTTGCGGCTGCCGTATGTGTCGCCATCGCGGTTTCGGTCGCGTTCGCGGTCGCGTTCGCGGTTGCGCGCGTCTCGTTCCTTCTGGCGTTCCATGTCGGAGCGTTTCCGCGCGCTGATGTTGAGGCCGCCCTGCAGCAGCTGCCGCTTGTCGACGACCTCGCCCTCGTCGTTGACGGCAACATGCCCGCCATGCGCATTGATGGCGCGCGCGCGTGCAGTCGACGAGTCGTCCTCCTCGGCCTCATCTTCATCCCCAACCTCGCTTGCACCACCGCTGTCCCTGCTCTTCCGTGCTGCGGTCGCAGCGCGCAGGGACTCCTGGATGGCCGCCTGTCGCTCCTCGTCCCGTTGTAGGAGCTTTTTGTAGAACCCCGTCATGCCGCCCGTCTCCGCCGCCTTGGCCGCCTCGGCCTCTTCGCGTTTCCGTTCCGCCTCTTCGAGTCGCTTGCTCTCCTCCTGCTGCTGCTTGTATGCCTCCGTAACAAACGTCTCCTTGTCGTCAAAGGCGTCGCCCTCGGCCGCCCGCTCGCGCTGCATCTTCTTGTCCTCGGCGACGCGGCGGTCGCGCTCGCGGACCTCGGCCATTTTGCGAATGTTGCTCATGTACTGTGGTTTGCGCGGCGTCTCGCCATCGTCCGCATGTCCCCCAGCCTTGTTCTTGCTTGTGCCCGCCTTAAATGCATCGTACGTCGCATCGTAATCGTATATGGACGGGTCGAGCGCCTCGGCGGCTTCGCGGTGTTTTCGCGCGGTCAGCGCGCTCGCCAGGTCGCTGCCAAAGGGGGAGCTTGTCGTGTCGCCGTCACCGTCGACGGTGGCCTTTTTGTACTTGCTCGGTGGCGGCTGTGATGGCGGCGGCTGGCCTTTTCGGTGTGCCAGTTTCTTTTTCGCATCGTCGCCATCGTCTGTGTCTTGTGGCGCCGTGCCGGATAGAAAGTCGTCGCCCAGCTCGGTGATCGCTACGGCAACAGGTCCGCCGTCAGGTTTCGTGTTGCCTTTGTTGCTGCCGCTCTTCTTGCGCCCAAACACGCCGCCGCCATCGCCGTCGTCGGAATCGCCGTCATCGTCGCCGCCGCCGCCAAAGATTGCGGGTCGTTTTGCTGTTGCGCCCGGTTTTGCGGCTCCAGGTTTCTTGGACAGGTTGAGGCCGATCTTCGTCGGCTGGCTCATGATGGGCGAGGCGGGAAGAAAAGGACGCGAGGGAAAGGAAAGGAATGTCGTCGAAACGGTTGGGTACGAGGCGGCGACAGCGTTATGCGTTATGGTCGTCGGAGTGGTGGTCTAGATCTGAGCAGGGAACAAAAGCAGCTTTTAGCGCTGACTTGACTACGTGCCTGGCGGCTTATCGATAAGAGCTCTTTTTCGTAGGATTTGGGGGCTGTAGTACATCTGACTGTCTACGCATTGTTCCCAATCAAACAGGGCGGTACTTTTTCATTGCGACGGACCTCACTCGTGTTTTGCTGACCAATTCATATTTTAATGTCATTCGGGTTTCCGCTGTTAATTTCTTTTGTTTATCGCATGCTACTGTCACCAACTACGTCGTACAACCTTTTGTGAATAACAGAACAAGCAACGACAAACTAAACGGTACACGCACTGGCTTACAGGTGCGCGTTGAAAAAAGCGGCGGTCTGCTCGTAGCCGCGGACATACTCCTTAGCGTTCTCGGCGTCGTCGAGCTTTGCGCGGGCGCCCATCCAGCCGTGGAACATGTTGGGGTAGGTGTCGACTTCGCCCACCTTGCCGGGCTGGGCGAGGATCTTCTTGTATTCGGCAACGACAGCTGCGTCTTCGTCTTTGGAGGCGAGGAGGATGTGAGGAGCGGTAAGGGGCTCGGCGTCTTTGGCGTCGAGGCGGCTGTCAAACAGTCAGCAAGAGAAGAACGGCCAACAGCGAACGAGCGACGCGAGTGAGGACAAAAGAGCGAGCGCGGCGAGAGGGCAACAAAAGAAAGCGAGCGACGCGAGGGAAAACAACAGAAAGCGAGTGCAGCAGGAGGACAGTAACGTACCCAGGGTGAGCCGTGCCGCTGACGGTGAAGCGCCGGCCGGCGCCCGTGTTGTCGGCGCCCGTGGCCAACACACCAACCTTGCCGCCCCAGCAGAGACCGAAAATGCCAACATGGTCGTCGACGGCCGGGTAGCGGGTGGCGAGATCCTTGCGCACGTTGAGGACGGCCTTGACGGCGTTGCCGAAGTCGGCCTTGTTGGCAAAGAAGTCACCGAGCGCCTTTTGCTTTTCGGGGGTGTTGGCGGGCATCCACTCGGGCTTGGCGCCGTCGCCCTCGAAGAAGTCGGGGAGGAGGACCAGGGCGCCGGTGATGGACGACAGGAGGTCGACGCCCTGGACCGTCTGCGGCCAGACGCCAAAGATGTCGTAGACGACGACGATGGCCTTTGTTGCGTCGTCGGGGCCGACAATGTCTACAAGTTGAGGCGGAGATGCGATTAGCTAGATCCTACAAGAAGCTGTCCGGAACAAGAACAATCATTCTTGCCGACGAGCGATACGTACACGTCTTCAGACCGCCGAGGGTCTCATGGCGGCCCTGGGGAGTGTAGTCGACGGTGATGGGGGGACGCTGAGCGCAAGCGTGGCTGGCCATGGCGAAGGATGCGGGGGTTGGTGGAAGAGGCAAACCGTTGGTGGAAGAAGAGATGGGCAGACTCTGGAGAGGGCTTGACTGGATGTTTATGCCGAGAACGGACGAGCGAGGTGGCCAATGGTGCAATGGGAAAAGAACGAGAGGTGGTGAATCGACGGCGGGACGAGGCGCCTGTATTTAAGGGCCAGCGAACATGTCGATTTTATTTCGCAATTGATTTTGCGCGTCTACAAAAGAACAGGGGCTCAGATACAGGCCGCCTGTGTATCGCCGGCAAATACAGCAAGACAGGGGAGCGGCCAGAGCGTCCGCAAACAAAACGGACCGCGCAAAACTGGCCGCTCGATGCACCGGCGGTCACGTCACGGCAAAGTATTACACCACAGCGTCGCAGTCCGGCCAAATCGCACAGGTCGACTGAACGAAATCTCCACTCAGACCAAGCAAATGGACTTGCCGTTTTGCCATGCCAGGCGAGCAAAGTAAAAAATGAGCTTTTGCCCCTCTTCGCGCGCTCATGTTGCGCAATGAAGGTGGAGATCGCCACGGGGTTAGAGCCTTCACAGAAAGGATAAGTCCGGGTTTTGACGTTTTGTTGGTCGACTTACACAAAACTATTTGCGCATCGGCACCGAAGCGGTGGACCCCGAGTGTGAAAAAAACGTAGTGCAAGAAAGCCAGGCCAATACCCGACCCGGAGCGTGGGCTGCGGAAATTGGCATGGAAACAAAGAACAACGCCGCAATGGTTGAGACGAGTGGAGGGGTATTATTTGCAGATTCGAGTCGACCTTTCAAAAGGTTGGAAGACTCGCCAATGCAAGCTATGTCTGAACACACATTATAGTACAAAATACATAGGCACAAATGCCCGCTTCGTCCCATTTTGTCTATGCCCAGGGTGATAAATATGACACAATGTGCATGGCCATTCAAGCAAAAGCATCTCGCTCACACAAGCGCTTGGCCCATGTACATGCTCTCGCGCACCTCGGCCACAATGTCCCGCCGGTCGTCCTTGCCCACCAGCACAATGCCCCGACCACGCCGGCCCATGCGGCCGGCACGGCCCAGGCGGTGGATAAAGTCAATCGTCGTGTGCGGCACGTCGTAGAGCACCACATGCCGCACGCCCAGGGTGTCGATGCCGCGCGAGGCCAAGTCCGTCGCCACAATCACCTTGGTGTTGGCCAGCGAGCGGCCGCCCATCGCCGGGGACGGGACGGGTGCCTGTGCCGCATGCAGGGCGGCCGCCTTGAGTGGCCCCGCCGCCGTGAACATCGCCAGCATGTCCGTGTGCCGCGACTCGGACGCGTCGCGGTGCAGCGCCACGGCGTCGATGCCCTTGCCGCGCAGAAACTCGGCCACGTCTTGCGTCTTCTCGCGCTCATTGACAAACACCATGATCCGTTTGACGTCCGGTTCGCCGTCGTCGCGGGCGCCATCCGGCCGGTCGTCGTCGGCCGAGGAGGACGCCGACACATCCTTGCCAATCGACCAGATGGCGTCCGCGCACGCCAGGTCCTTGTTGTTGCGGTACGGCTCTTTGGTCACGTCAATCACACCCAGCTGGACACGCCGCGGGATCGCGTGCAGGTTGGGCGTCGTGATCCGCTGCATGTGGGGGAAGTGGTTGGCCAGATACGTGTCGAGACGCCGTGGGATCGTGGCCGAGCACAAGATGAGCTGCTGGAGCGACGGGCGTGCCCGCTCCAGGATGGCTGTCGTCGCCGGCGAGAAGCTGCGGTCGAGCAGCGAGTCCGCCTCGTCAATGATCAAATGGTTCACACGCGACAGCACGTTGGGCTCGGCCTCGGCAATCGACGCCAGCAGGTGCGGCGTCGCCACCACCACGTCGATGCCCGACGGCGAGTGCAGGTTGCGCTCCATGGCCTTGGGCGACACGTTGGCCGACAGCAGCTCCGTGCGGAACTTGACCTCGTGCGACAGCGCCTTGGCCACGCCGCCCACCTGCCCGACAAGCTCGGCCGACGGCACGAGAACAACCACGCGCGGCCGCGCTGTCGTCGGGTGCGGCTCAAAGACCGTCGAGCCGCGGTAGTTTGTCGCCGCGCGCCGCTCCTTCTCGTCCGCCAGCCGCTTCTTGTACGCGATAATCTCCTCGTCCTCTGCCTCTGCACGCTTCAGCGCGTCCACGGCCGGCAGCAGGTACGCCAGTGTCTTGCCGGATCCCGTCTCTGCGGCCAGCAAAAACTCGCGGACGCCGCCCGGTGCCACTTGCCGCGATGGCCGCCGGTCCACCACCTGGCCCAGCAGCATCGGGATCGCGAGCCGCTGGATGGGCGTCGGCTTCACATCCACCATGCCCCGGAGTGCGTCCGACTGGACCGCCGTCTGCAGCGATGGCAGCAGCTTGAACTGGTCGAACTGGTCCAGCTCCGCCATGCGCGACCTGATCTGCGTCCGCTGGCCGTAGCCGATCGTCGCCAGGGACTGTTGCATGCGGAGCGCCTTGAAGGGTTTCTTGCTACCGTCTCTGCTTCTTCTACTGCTGCTGCTGCTGCTGCTGCTACCACCGCCCCGTCCGCCGTCCCTGTCATCTTTCAGCCGCCGGGATGCGTGCCGTGACGTTGTCGGCGTAGAAGACGATGCTGTCGTTGTCGTTGCGGCTTGCGCCGGTCGTTCGCGGATGTTCGCCACAGTGCGGTTCATGCCCGTAAACGGCCCAGCTTCTCTCCGCCGCGCTTGCCGCGTCGGGGGCGGCCGCGCAACTCTATCGGATAGGACCATACGTGACGGTGTTTTCCGCCGTTGGGCAGCCAAGCCCCGTCTCTGCAGCTGCATCTGCGGCAACTGAACCGGCTGAGTTTGCCATGGCCGGACTGGTGAGAGTCGCAATTGGTTTGATGGACCACCCGCCGTCCGGCAGACAGGGCATATCGGTCGCAGGGCGGCTCGTAGCATTGTATGGGCCGTTGTGTGTGTGTCGTGGGCAGGCAATGGCAGATTTTCTTGCCTGTTGTGCCCCTTGTGCCTGTTTTGCCTGCTCTGCCTGCTTGGCGGTTTTGTCCCCTAAAAATCTTTTAAAGTGGCACCGCGTCCAAACACGCACATGGCAGCCACTTGACGCCTGCACACGTGACTCGTCTTCACAATCGATGTGGAGACGCAAGGGCCACCCAAGCGTAGTGCCAGTCGATAAGGCGATAGTGCATGGTGGAGCCTGAGTTCTGCGATGAAAAGTCAGTGACGTAGCAGCAGCTGCTCGTGGCAGGTGCGTTGGGGTACGAAACTGCGTGTTAGATGAAAGCCCAGAACCAAAGCGGGGAAAGAGCGAGGGAGCCACCGACAACATTCAACGATCAAAGAGCGAACAAAGGACCAACATGGGTCTTCAACTCTTTGATCTCTTTCTGTCTCTTGTCATTTTAGCATGCCCTCGTACTATCCTGAAGATTCAGGGAACGAGTCCCTTTGAAAACCCTTGCCCGACTAACAACAGGCCTGCCACGCTGAACCCAACGTCCGTCACCTGCAGCTTACTGGTTGAATGCCGTGTACACATACCTGGGGAAGGTGCAGCCCGCTTTTTCGTAGCTCTTGCTCCGCGCGATGGCAATTATCATCAAAGGGAAATAGCCAAAGAAAAAGGACCATCAACCCTGGCATACAATATGAACACAAAGGGAAACTGCGGCCGAAGCAATGCGAATGTAGAGATACAGGGCTGCGGCCCATTTGTGGAAGGCGCCGTCCAGTGAGCCAAGACGGCCTCACACCACCAGCTAACAGCGAAGTCGTAGAAAGGTGCTCATTGTTCTTGCCCTTACTTGCACTTGCCTCTTTCCATCGCGGCTCCCTATAGAACGATTCTCCTCTGATTTATTCCGACGTATCTTCGCTTCCCTTTTATTATTCTTCACCTTGTTGCACTCAGCTTCGACGGGTGGCATTTTCTATTCCCCTACTTTTTGTCTCAACCCAACGGCCCGGCTTCCTCCAGTCTCTCCTGTCACCTTATTTTATTCTTTATTACCTTCTCCGCAGTGCGCCCAGCCGCCTCAGCTTATCCCTTGCTTCCCGACATCTCAGCATTCACCGCGGCTTTACATCGATCTGCACGTCACATCAACTCGACGAGGTGCAAGCGTTTCTCGGGCACAGGTATTCACCATGGTCAAAGACGGTGTACCAGTTGAGATCACCTACAGGTCGAAAGACATTCAACCCCCGCTGTGGCTGGCCGGATCCTTTTCGAAGCCGCCATGGACACCCGTGGAGATGGAGCACAAGACGGCAGCGGACGGCGAGCACATCTTTACAAAGTCCTTCCGTGCAAAGCCAGGCACAGAGGTGCAGTACAAGTTTCGCGTCGGCTCGGGCGACTGGTGGGTGCTCGACGAGAGCATTCCCACCGTCACCGACGATATGGGCAACCGCAACAACGTGCTGAAGGTGAAAGCCCATGAGAGGTACGTGTCCAGTTACGAGTGAAAGTAGGAGCGGAATTCATGACGGCTGACAGTCGGTTTTGCACAATTTGCTAACAATTGCACTTTGCCACGTTCAGCGCCAAGCCCAATCCCAGTGTGCAGAAGCCACCGACCCCTCCTCCCGACTCGCCCATTCTTCCAACGACCGCTGCCGGCCTGTCCAATTTACATATACCGGTGCCCGGTGGCATTTCTCGCTCCGATGCCAGCACACCGAGTTTTGTGAAGACGACCATGGAGGTCGCGGATACAGCGGCGCAGATTGATGCGCGGACACCCGAGTCAGAGGCTGCCGAACATGAGGTGCCCGACTCATCTGTCGATGTAGGAGAATACTAGGCATAAATGGTCACAAGACCTGAACAGATGCTGACCACCCACCACAAACAGTACCTCGACGTGGATATCGGCCCCGAGTTCCCGCACGAGCGGCCGGGCGAAGAAGATGATGGCCTCGATGCCGCGCCAGTGTTTGCATACGAGTACGCTGGCAGCTACGAGTTGCCTGCGGCCGTGGCGGCGGAGAGCGAGTACAGTCCCACGTCGCCCGCTTTCTCGGCCCACGACAAGAACTTTGACCCAGAGGACCCGACGCTCGAAAGGTTCCCTTCGAACCGCGAAGACATTCTCAGCCGTGTTCGAACCCTCGAAACCGGCTTGGACGAGGACCCGACTATGTTCGAGGGGTATCCTGCCTCGCCTGTCGTGACGCCAGGAAGAAAGACCTCGGTGGGATCGATCGACCTGGCTGGTGATAGCTTCTCGATCTCGCCGACAACGAATCCAAATCGTCCGGTGGGCAACCGGCGCCCAGAGTCTCACAAGCGCAACTCGAGTCGGGATAGCCTCGTTTTAGACCCGTCTCCGGCGGCTTCACCTTCGCTGCAGTGCATTATGGAGGAGACAGGCACCGATGATCAAGAGCATAGCCTTCTCCCGGATCCGGTCCAGTCGGACCTACTGTCACCCACGGCCGCGGCAAAATCTGATGTGCCAAATCCCGAGGCCGTCTTGCTCACCTCGGAAGCCATCTCACCCAAAACCAAGGTTGCTCAGCTTGCAAATCCGGCAATTGTCGTCCACGAAGCACAGGAAAGCGACGTGGCCAGCCCCATAAATGTGAGAGGTGCACCCATTAGCACAGACAATTGTCCTGGCGACTTCCCTGACATCGATGAAAGTGAAGAGCCGTCGTCGCCGGCGGCAGGGGCTCAAAGCAGCACCCGAGACGTTGTTGCCACCAATGAGGCGCAGAGTGGCACACCGGTATCGCATCACCCGAAAGGCGTCGAAGTCAAGGGCAACTCCAACTGGTTCGCCTCATTCATTAAGCTGGTCTTTGTCGACTGGCTTGGCGGGTTTCTCGCGAGCATCTTCCGGTCACGGCAAGCGGAATGAGCGGGCGGGCAGTGGAACATACGACGAGCTGCGTCTTTTATTAGTACGTTTGTTTCATTGCATCGGTCGGACGTCAAATGTTGAAGGCCGGACGAACACGGTCGTGTACTTAATGATGGGGCTTTTCGTAATAGCATTTCTACATAAACATTGCTATGTAAACGACGGGTTGTTTGCGTCTTAACAAACTTTAATGAAATAGGTAATACAGTTTTGGAAGGGAACGAGAAAGAATGAAAAGAAAACGAACAAAACTGACGATATAATAGCAAAGTCGTAATTGCGTCGCACAAGGATGTCAAGCTGTCCCTTATTAGCTATGTCATTATGCAGTAATGTGGGTCTGCTTGTGTTGCTGGTCGCCATGGCAAAATTTGAAGAGAGGTGCTGAACTGTTAGCTTGCCGTCACCAACCAGCGCACTATCAAAGTCCACTTTTGCGCCTTTTGCGCCCACGCTTCGTCTGCGCAAGACCTTTTACCTCGACTATTCTCACGAGAGTTTATAGGAGGCTGCTTCATTCGCTGAACATCTCGACTCCCCGGCCGTCGCTCACAGCAGTTACACTGCAGTGATCGCTTCTTCGTCTCCTCCACACACAACAACCGCTTCACATCGGCACCATGTCTCTTCCGCCGCAAGTCATCCAGGTCAAGCGGAAGCGCACCGAAGAAGGCCCCGTGCCATCGTTTTTGCGTAGGTCCTTTGATCCATGGCTCCGTTTGTCCCGCACAGCACCTAACAACCAGCAGGCATCGAACACGCGGCCAACAAGCGCCACCGCAGCGATGCCTTCTTCTACCGCCGGCACGACCCCCAAGCCGTCGCCGCCGCCCAGGCTGCGAAGCGCGCCGCCGAACTCGAGGCCGAAGCGTCTGGACGCTCGCCCATACGGCCCCCGACGATCCAGTCTTCCAAGAAGGGCGACGAGAAGAAGAAGACACGAGCCGCAGGCAAAGAGGACAAGAAGGAGGCGGTAGACGCCACGGCACCACCGGCAGGGGCATCCCCGGCTGCCACCAGCTCGGCAAGCACCGTCGAACCGCGTCGCTTCCACCTGTCGCGAGACTCTCTACTCGCTGCTCACTCGAATGCCGCTGCGGTGCTCGGCGTGTCTGCTGTGGCAGGCGTGCGCAAGCGGTCGCGGTACAGCAGTGCCAGTGGTGGCGATGCGAGCCCGGCGGCAGTCTTTGTCGAGCGAAGCAGGCGGCAGCGGAGGCAGCAGCTGCGACGGAGTCAAGACAGGAAAGCTGGCGCGAGCGGACGCGGCGGCGGTGGTGGCCGTGCCGCTCTTCCGTCTGTCGACGAGCCCAAGCCCGTGGCAGCCATGGCGCCCCTGCCGAAGCGACCAGGTCGGCGGGCGGCGGGCGGCAGTGGCGCATCCACGAGTGGCGCAGCGACACCAGCATCGGGGGGGGATTTGGCAGAGACGGGCGACACGCTCACGCTCACGCCCACGCCCACGGCGACGTCGAGTGCATCGGGCACGCCCGCGCTCCCACCTTCGCTGCGCAACCGCCAGTGGGACACCGACATGGACCAGCTCACGCGCGAAATGAACGACTATACGCTCGAGATCATCGGCCGCAATCTGGCCGCCCAGCAGAGCCAGCGCGCGGCCGCCCTGGCCAGGGAACAGCGCGAGGCCGAGCGCAGAGCGGGCGACTCGGACATGTCCCGGCTGGCCAACGAGCGCCGGCGGGCGGCCTATGCCAAGTACAAGCCCAAACCACCAGGACAGCGGCTCGCCGAGCGGCAGGGTGCGGGCGCCGCCGGCCGCCTAGACGACATGAGCGACGATACTCTTGATGTCGAGGACGCGGGCGACGGTGACAACGACGACAACGACGGCAGCGACGGCAGCGAGACAGATGAGGAGGACTACGTCACGGAAACGTACGTGCGCGTCCCCGGCCACGAAGCCACCCGGCAGGCTGTCGCCAATGGGGCGGCCGTCCCCGGTACAGTGGGCCTGCTCGTGTTCGACAACGAGCCGGACCTCGAGTTCTTTTACGGCGTCGAGGAGGACAGCGACGAGGACGGCGAAGACGACGAGGACGAGAACGCCGAGAACTACTATACGCATGACTACCCGGAAGACGAGGTGTCGTCCGACGACGAGTACGGCCGAGACGCGTACCACTACCGGACGGGCAACGCGTCGGACCTAGAAGAGTTTGAGGACAGTGACGTCGAGGGTGGCGGTGATGCCGGGGTCAGTGGTGCAGGGTCTGGAGAGATTATTGGGTTTCCCGGCAATGTCAAGTTGACGAAGCCGGGAGACCTGTGAGACGCATATCTGACGAGATTTTTTGGGGGCTTCCATATATTCCCCTCAACGTTAGACCATATTTCGCATATCATGTCGGCACGTCATAGAATATAGAACCAAGAAATCCTGATACCATAAATGTCCTACTATGAATGGCATGGTTAATGTCCGAAATAGTCACGAAAAAACATTGACAAAATACAGTATCAATTCGCGTACCAAGAAGCCACCAGCTACCAGCGAATGATGTAGACACGTAGATCCAAAGTAAATGCAAACCCAAACCCCGTTGCTCCTATACCATGATTCCTTAATCAAAGTAAATGAAACAAGAAGACGCCAAGACCATCCCTGTCTATGATTCCCATAATTGTAGAACCCCATAACTATGTAATGAACGAATGCGAACAAAATTGCAACCATGGAGATAGTCAGTCAATATAATAGAACATCGCCGAGGCTGTCAATAAGCGACGGCTTTACATGATAGCGCATGCAGTCGTCCGAGCGCGGCGGCGCCCGATGCCCATTCCCGCTGCCCCTGTGCCGGCCTCAACGTCGCCGCCGCCAGCAGTTTCTTCGTCGACGTGTGCCTGCTGTGCCTCACGAGCGCGACGGCGGCGGCGACGACTGCCGCGTCCGCCGACGCCGGCTTCTTCGTTGGCCTGGATAAAGTCAGACCACTTGCGCTCCAAGCGGTGGGCCGCGGCAAAGTCGCCCTTGAGGACGCGCTTGTTGTGCTCGTCGACCGTCATCTGCCAGCCATAGAAGCACTTGAGGGCAATGATCTCGGTGGGGAAGGTGTACACGGGTACGCCGGCCGTTTCTGATGGTGTGCTGGTGATGGTGACGCCGTTCTGCACTGCCTTGTGCGGCGAGAGAACTTCGGCGTTGCGCGACAAAATCTCCCGTACACCTGTGCGGGTGACGTTGGGGCAGTCGTATACTGTCAGGCTAAGTCCAATGCTGGGACGGTGCTTTTTGACACGGGTGCGGACGGCACGGGTGCGCACCATGCCCGCTGCCTCAGCTAGCGTCAAGTCCGAGATGCGCGTGTTGTCCATCTCGACGCTGCGGAGCTTTGTGCAGGCGCGGAGAACGGGGATCATGCCCGCATCGCCAATGTCTTCGCAGTAGCTAATGGACATATGCGTCAAAGTGTCGACGCACTTGGACTTGGCGAGATACGTGGAAAAGAGAGGGTTGGTCAGCTCGACGAGATCCTCAAGGTCGAGGTAGGCCAGCTTGGTCGTTGATTCGAATATCGGCTGCAGCGCCGCATCGGTTAGCGCACTGCAGGCGCCGAGCGAAAGGCCTTCCAGATCCGGAACGCAATGGCCCAGAGCAGCAACGCCACGGTCTGTCAGTCTCTGGCAGCGGCTGAGGTCGAGATGGCGCAGGCGGCGCGGGGGCACAATGGGGCGGTCGGTCAGCAAGTCGATCTCGGGGTCGACGCCATGCACCATGACACCCAGTGCCTCGTCCGTGAGATCCGTGCATCCGCTCATGACCAGTCGCTCAAGCCGGTTGGTCTCGAAAAAGGTCTTGGCAACGCTGATCTGGTCAAATCCAAGGATCTCGCCAACGCGAAGGTCCCGTAGTTTCGGGCAGCCTTTGAGGACGGTCTGGATTCCAGAGGCCCGAAGGTGCTTGCACCATGACAAATTGAGCACCTCGATCTGGTTGCAGTATTGGGCGAGAGTCGTGCAGGTGTCATTTCTGACACTCGATAGGCCAGTGAGATTGATATGGGCCAGTCGGTCGTTTCTCTTCAAGAGGTTGTCCAGGTTCTTAAAGTCGATGAGACAGCCTTCGAGGGTGGCATTAACAAGATTGGCGCACGCGCTGGCCATGAGAAGGGCATCCTGGAACTTGTCGATCTGGACGCAACCGCGCAGGTTCAGGTCTTTCACAAACGGCCCAGCCGCCGTGATGATCTTGGAAAGACACTCCACCGGAATGTCCTGGTAGAATTCGGAGGCGTCGAAGGTGGTCCACAGCTGTCCGTCAAAGCAGAGTTTGTTGAACTGTTTGTTCACTCGAGAAACACGGATGATCTCCTTTGGCCGCAAGAGTTGAAGAATGTGCAACTTGATTTCGCGCGGTAGGCTGTTCCACAGCTGATATAAAGTTTTCTTAGGCCGAGGGGAAAACAAGGGCAAGGATGCAGCCCTGACCATGTCGTGGGGCATAGGGACCGTGCCAGGGGTGCCAGAGGTGTTCCCGAGACTGAGATCCACCTTGCGAACAGCATTGCTGCTCTGTGAATGTGGAAACGGAGGGAAGGGCAATGTCGCTGTGGAGGGAGGCGAGGGAGTCGACGAAACAGCGCCATTATTAGAACCGATCGTAGTAGTTGACGAAAGCGGAGGGAAGGCGAGAGTAGAGTTGTTCACGCTGGATGACGGCGCAAACGGAGACGATGTGGACGACAGAGCGATGCAAGATAGACTGGCACCGGTAGATGCGTACGGTGCACTGGCTGAGCGAGCGCGGCCAGTCTGTGCGAGGCTGGATGACGATGACATGCGAGAGAGCCCACGGAACAGCCGCCGGCGATTCCGGCTTTTCGGTGGAACATCTTCCATGGGTGCGGCAATTGGCTGCGAGTGGTTGTGATGTTGCTCCTCAATGATCGTCTCGGGCTGCTGGAAATCCGGGTTGAGGTCGCCATCAGCAACGAGGCCGATAGCGGTCGGGGGTGTAACATCGGCCATGGTGACGAATGGCGTATGTAGAGCAAAAGTGAGAGAAACGAGGATGAAGGGAAACAGGCAAGAAGACAAAGAAAACAAAAACAAAAGTGGAAGCAATAAAAAGTCAGATAACTGGATAGAAGGAGATGTGGACAATCGGAAGGCGCTGAGACAGCTGAGGCTTTAAGAAAGCCTTGACCACACGTCCTCAATACCAAAATGGTAGCGAGTCCACCAACACAAATACACCGAGCGCTGCGAGTTGGGCGGTCTACTTTTAAAAGTCACCACGGCTTCGCCCTTTTGTTGTCCTTCCTCTTTTTTCCTTTGTCAGAATTGGTTGTTTCTGTTTGGCCAAAGGATCTGGGACCTGCTCCAGCGGGTGGCGTTGTGCGATGTGGTGGCCAGGCCGGTGGGGTTCAACCAGGCTTATGTGTGTGTTGTGAATGGTTGGATGACGGTGGTGTAGGTGGACTAAGAGTGATGGTGGTGGGCTTCTTGGATGACGGTCTTGTTGGAGCGATAGAAGCTGGATAAATGGTCCTAGAGAGTTGTTTTGGGATGGTGGAGTGGTTGCCAGAAAACACCGGCGGTAGCGAACAAGTAGCCGGCCTGTGCTACGCCCCCATCGCGGTGAAAATGCGAAAAGAGAGATGTCCAATACGGAGGTCTTTGAGGGGTTGGCCAAAGTCGTCGATGCTTTTGAAGGTCGTCAAAAAGATCGTCACTGGATGTTCAAGTGACTTGTGTAATCTGAACGGTAATTCGCGATTAACGATAGTGAAACGACGCACTCGGTTCAAGGCGATAACGGAACAGAATCGCTGCACATCGCCCCGCAAGTGATCGGCGGAAGAAACGATTGCAGAGCGTCGTCAGTGATTTGAGCTCGTTGCTTGTGAGACGGTAGAATTAAGTGAGAGAAGAAGACAGGAACGGAGAGGAGGATTGCGAGATGAATAGAGAGGGGAAGCGATTTGAATCCTGGTCGAGTTTTGAGCGAGAAGGAAGGTGACCAGGTTCTGGTCAACGGCGAAAACAGGAAAACAAGGTAGCAATATAGATTGAGGTCAAAGACAAGATGCCCAGCAACCCAGGAAACAGGAGAAGGGAAGGAGAGGTAGGAAATAAAAGGAACCAAAACACAATAGGGGGAAAGAAAATGGGAAGGCACGACATAAAAGAGACTGAAGCAAGAACGAAGGACCTAGTCAAGCAAGAGATAGCGACAACAGAGTCGCAGTAGGGAAAGCACGAGAGACTGGGCGTGGCGTGCGCAAGGGCACCTTCTCATTACGGCCGATAATGCATCATAGACAACAAAGGTGCAGGTGCGGGGCCTTGCAAGTCTGAACGGTCGCTACTGCAGGCATTTTCGGCTCCAGAAACTACAAGACAATCCACAGTGAATCGTATCCCAAGACTCCACCACTTTTGTTGTAAAAGGGACACAACACCAAGCATCCGGGACAAGCGATGAGCCAGCAGACGAGGCCAGACCAAGGACCAGGTTTGCAACTCGCCTGGAGCCAGCCGACGATGCTCCACTACAGAGCGCTGCCCCCGCATCTTATCGTCCACAATCGCGGACTCTCGGCGCTATTGGACAGGGGTCTTAAGTGATTTTTGTTGATGGTTCAGGCGCATTGGGGGGTAACAAGAGCAAGGAAGGGGGACCAGCTGCCGGAAACAGAAAGCGGTGTGTTTTGGTGGGTAGTGTTGGTGGGGCAGAAGCGCTGCAGGACAGGTTTACGATGTACGACAGCCCAAGTATGGGACCGCACTAAGGACGCCACGCGGTGCGACTATGAGGGACGCCATGTAGCGCTGGAGGGGCGCGACTCGAGGGGTTTATCGATAGTGGTGGACCAGCGTACGGCGATGGCGACGACGAGGAGCACTAGAAGAAAATAACTTTAAGGGGAACTTTAACACGAGAATGGTGGTGTGTATTCTACGCGGGACCAAGAGAGCTGCAAGGATCTGAATGTCTTTCTTGTGCTGTTCGTTGATCTGCATCATGGCTCGTGATGAAGACAGAAGAGTGGGAGAGAATGTGAAAAAGAGTGGCGGATGATGGATGGGCAAATGGAGCACGCGACGGGGCAGATGTCGAGATGCACGAGACGGGAAACGACAGGCTCAGGTGCTGCATGTTCCCGGATGCAGACACAAAGTGGCACACGCACGCCTGCAGCTAGGCCGGGCTAGGCTTAAGGAGCGTTGACAAGCAAATCACAACCAAGCAGCTGCAGTTGGGCATTCAAGGGGATCTCTCTCTTTCACATGGCTTTTGTGTTTCTATCGTATCTCGCAGACTTCCTTATCGCGCCCATGGTCACTTGCCCTACATGTTCATGCAAGTTGCGTCGCGTGCCGTGACACGCGAGACAGTTCATCTGTCAAAAAGGCGATCAGAAATGTGACCGGAGAGAATAAGTATATGAAAGTGTGTGTTCTATAGTACGTGAACTTGTTGTCGGCGTTCTTAGGAAAGAAAACCCCGCTACGATAGGAGAAGACCCTGAAAACGGGCCAACCCTGAAAACGACCCAGTGAGCAGTCTCACGGTCTAGACTAACCGACTAGTCTCTTCTTTTGCGGAGTGGAAACTGCTCCGCTGCGGGAGACAAGATCAGCACCGAGAAAAGACCGCACTCTTGGGAAGGGGGAACCGGACCGGAGAGCCTGCTGAGGAGCGAAAGTCTCAACTTTAGGAATACGAGGAGGAAACAGCCCAGTATGAGAAGTGACGACAAGGAAAAGACAAATAGGACAAGTAGTTTGAAAGTGCTGGCAGCTGCGAAAAAAAAGGCCTACTAGTAGATGCCCCAAGCACGACATAAGCAACTTCCTCTTCAGTTATGTTGTCTTGATCTTCTCGATCAATGTGGAGGCGGCTGGAATCGCCCTTCTGGGTACCATGGCGGCTCCTTTATGCACTTCATATCGATTTGTGCGACTATGGAAAATATTGTGCGACTATCGAGACACACTCAACCGGACTAGGAATATATCGATATTGTAGCAGTATATATCGAAGCAGGTGCTCATAATGTGCAAGGAACACGAATAGTACGTTCATGTTTCGTTTTCCACCTCATGCCTCACTTCATTCTGTTTATTTGCAGCCACCTCCAAAGGCTACAGCGAACTGACGAACGACGTTATCCTGGTTGAATTATTTCTTGGTCTCTTGCCGAACTGTACGGCTGTCACGGGCTGTCCGTTGCATTCGAACACAATAAACCTCTTCCTACACCTACTTGCATTGACCGAAGCCAGGCAAGTAAATAAGGAAAAGCCGAGATCTCAGAACGATTACGTCGTGCATGATATCGTCAACCTTCGGCCTTGTGAATGTATGCCTCATCGATGCGCATTTTGGTAATGATTTTGACTAACGCATGTCGAATGTGCATCCCTTTTCCAATATTTCTTTGTTCTACACAGCCCTCCATCGGAAGCTACGGCGCCTCGTGGCTTTTTTTTTTCTTTCTTTTTAAGCTGACAGATATGGCATTATTGGAGGCGCTGGTCGTTCAACTGCGCCCTGTCCTTTGTTCTCAGCGATCGCCAACGTTGAAAAAACGTTTGACAAGAGCCAATACAAGTCGCCCGTGGCACGCTGTCATGCTCGGTGCGAATGATTCAAACGAGCCCTTCTGCTTCTCTCTCGTGGCCCTTTTGTCACTTGCTCCGTTCTCAAATGTTGATGCTGGCGCTCGCTCTCATTGAATCCGTCGATTTGCTGTCTGCTGTCTGTTTTGCCGCCTTGCGGATCCCTGGAGAAAGAAAACGCACTCTTACAAGGGTCCTGTTGGCGAGTCACCCCACTGCCACATGGTTCATGCCGGCTCCCGCGCTGCAAATGTGCGGTACGATACAAAACAAAGAATAAGCCAGCTACGGGCGGTGTGCGTTTCTTGCCTATGTCGTACAACATACTGTATCGTCGCAGTGTCTTCCAGTCAGTCATTAGCTGCAGCGCACACTAATCCAAGCGCCGCATAATGCCACAAGCGGACAAACAAGCAGGCGCAAAGCTAACGACGACAGCGGATGCCGACCCGTTCCTGTAGACCGATTCGAAGCCTCCGTGTCAATACCGCACATTGCAAGAACTGTTACTCACCGTACAGCTGCTCGGTCAGGCAATTGGAATGCGCAGGACATGGCAAGAGCCGAACCGATGGCACTCGCCACTTCTCACGAGTCGTGTTCTGCCTTGTAATCCTATTACTTGCCAACAAACGCGCAGTTTTGTCGAGGAGCGCCTCGCTCCACCGATGCAGGGACGACATGATTCAACAGGACAGGGAACAAGACCTTGTTACGTCGCAGGCCCTTGGTCTCGCAAGCCTTGAAGCCAACGCTTTTGCCATAGATCCAGGTCACCCTATCGTGCTCAGGCGACATTTCCTTGCCGTCCTCGCTTTTGTAGTATCTTGGGGATGCATTTTGCGCCTCTCGTCTCCTTGCCGTGCATGAAACACGATGTGTTCTGACACCAGGCCGCTCTGCACCAATCCGAGCACCGGAGATTGACCACCTGTCACCGCTTTCACATGACTCTCCCGCGTCGCGTCCCGCTTTTTCTTACGTACATTTCGTCACAGTGGGCAGGCACCACCACTACCGCCACGCCTGACACGTCGGGGGGGTCCCCAACCGGTGGACAATTGCACGCTAAAAGCCTCCAAGCCGCCATTACGACGTATTCACCCCACCAAAACACACCAAAAGACGCAATGCCCGCGCCCCAGTCCGCCCAGTCCGCCCAGTCCGTAGCGTCCTAATAAAAAAAGTGCAAAAAACCCACACCAACAAAACAAGCACATTTTTCGGGGCGAGCCTCCACGTACCACCACCACAAGTCCTGGGTCCCTTCTCATCCCTCTCTGCCTGTTGTCCGTCATCGTCATTTTGCTTGAACTCTACTTCGCGCAAGTTGTCTCTTGAGTCAGGCACAGCCTGACACATATTTGGTTACTAACATTTTGCATTTCTGACTGCGAATTCCAAACGACGGATTCACATGTACCTATAGTTTTTTTTGTTTTGTTTTTTGTATGGTTTAGGTTCTGCATTTTCTCTTGGCTCTTCGCTTCCATCTCGACTTGTTCTCGTCTCACCTACGGACAGCTCTCGACACCAGCACGTCGGTCTCGTCCAAACTACTCTACGGTCGAATCGACCTCTCAGCTCTTTCCGTTGTCTACACGCGTCGCTTCCCCTGTGCGACAGTCGCTCTTTCCGCTCCAGCAACCCGGCACTCCGCCCGTACCTTCTCACACAATTCAACGCTCTGCGAACATCTCAGCCTCCTTTCATTGCTCCCTTTGACGGGCTTCGTGCAGAGAGAGCTCGTCTCTCGTCTCTTTGCCCCCCCGCAACATCTCTGTGCCGCACGACGTCCGGCTCGACGAGGGGCCACTTTCCAATTATGCTCCATATCTACGGCACAAAAACGGAGACTGGTGCGTCACCGGCCAACCCTGCGTCGAAACCAGCGTCCCGCCCGCCGGAATCAGCGGCATCTCCGGCGACGCGTCCGGGACATTGCCGCCCGTTTTCCCTTGTCCCTTGCAGCTCCATTGCTAACCAGCATGTCTCCTGCTCCAGGCGCAACCGCACACATCGACGATGAGGCAGAACACGACACCAGCACCGACAGCCCGGTGCTCCGGCAGACCCGCACCAACAGCAGCAACCAGCTCGCGCTGCCCTTGCACATTCCCAAGAACAGGAGCACCGGCAACCTCACCGTCGCCTCGCCCGATGTTCCAGACCACAAGGCCCGCTTACGATTCTCCTTTGACGCCGGCGCCTCTGCTGCGGAGTACGATGCCGCCACTCGGTTGGTGCCCTTGCCCGTTGCTGCCTCCCCGTATGAGATTGATGTGTTTGCCTTGGCTGCCATGACGGCACCACTCGACACGTATGACGCGGCCGACACGTCCGTCAAGACGCTGGACGAGTGGAAGGATGCCGTCGGTGCATGCACAGACTCGTGCCTCTGCATCGTCCCTCCCTTTGTGCAGGACCGTGTCTGCCGGGACGACGTAGGCTTTGACCTGGACCTAGAGCCCGAGTCAGAGTCGGAGCCGGAGTTTGATTCTGCGTATTTGGATTCGTATTGTTGCATCAACAGCGTTGCTGACCCGGCGTCCGAACACAGCTCCCCCATTATGACAGACCACGACCACGGCCTCGGCCTCTCGGGCCTGCGCCGCATCCGCCAGCACGCGCCACCCGTACGCGCCCCGACACTCCCCGCCGACCCCTCCAACCCGTCGTCACGCAGCACCTCCTTCGGCCTCCCTCGCTCCGCCTCCATGACCGCCATGCTGCAACATGCCAACTCCTTTTCGTCCGCGTCCGACGCCGTCGCGCCCGCCTTCAGCGAAGACTTGAGCCGGTTTCCGTCCGAGTCCCTGCACTCCTTCTCCTTCGCCTCCCACCAATCCAACGACATGCTGCACAGCCACCAGTCCGTCTTCAAACGCTCCATCGAGTTCATGAAGGACCGCATGGGCTATGCCGCCGGCTCGTCCAATGCGGGCCTGGCGAGCGCCCAGGCCCGCGCCACGGGCGACGTCGAGACACAAACCATGCTCGACCTACTGGCGCGCGCCCAGCTCGTCGGCGCCAACAACCTCTCCAGCACCGACCAGGCCTTTCCCACCGGGCCCCTGACCGGCCCACCCGACATGTCTGGCGAAAACGTCTTTGAGGCCAACTTTATCCCAAGGACCGCCAGCCCCGAACTGATGGCCGAGCCGCCATCCGTCGCAGTCTCCGAAGCCGCCAGTTCACCACTGGCCATGGCCAAGGCGGTGCCCGCGACCCAACCGCGAGACAGCTCCATGCACCAGCTCCGCGACGAGCGCCCGTCGCTGTCAATCTCGTCCGTCTCCCAGGACGACAGCAACAACAACCGCACGGAAGCCGCTACTGGCCCACCAGACTCGGCCGAGTCGTCAAGAACGCCGACCAACGAGAGCGGCACCACACAAAAGACATCGCCGCCTACCTCGCGTCGACCTAGCCTCCTCCTGCGGCGAACTCTTACCGATCTGACGCCCGTCGCCGTGCAGCAGCGGCTCCTCGACACCCTCGCCACACCCTACGTCGCGCCACCAATAGCCGGCACGGGCGGCGTCAGCCCTCGATCGCTGTCCCTCTCCGCCGACGCACAGTCCGACACCACAACCGCACCGCCTCTGTCCGCTACCGCACAGTCATTTGCATCGCCCATGAGTGCCACCGCCAATTTCGGCGAACGTGCACACGGCCACCCCACACGCTGGGTGCCCGCGGCACAGGCCATCTTCACCACCGAGGCCAAGCCGCCATACACCATCATTGCCGCCAACGACCTGGCCTGTCTCGTCTTTGGCGTGACCAAGGCTGAAGTCCGCAAGATGGGCATTCTCGAGGTCGTCCAGCAAGAACGTCGCGCCTGGCTGGAGAAGAAGCTCCAGCACGTCGAAGGTGCCGACGACGACAACGGCGGCGGCGGCGAGAACACCGCCACGGCCCACACCACCCAACGCTCCTCCTCCATCGGCGACATTGCCCAGCCCGTGCCCAAGAAGGCGGCTGTCAACACATCCAGCCTGCTGGGTGCGCGTGGCGGTGGCATCACGGCGAAGCTCCTGAGCAAGCCCAACTCGCGCTCACAGACACCCCAGAATGGCAACGGCGCCAGACACGTCACGTCACCACAGCAGATGGCACGCCGTGCCAGCACCATCAACACGCGGTCGCCAAAGGCAGGAAGCGTGAGCGGCCACCACAACAACAACCAGTCGCGTGGCGTGCTTCTGTGCGGCGACGTCGTGCCCATCCAGAAGCGCAATGGAGCGACGGGCTCGGCCAGTTTGTGGGTGAAGGAGAAGCGCGTGGGCCTGATCTGGGTTCTGGAAGAGATCCACGAAGACGTTGCCACCGTGGCCGTTGACGAGGACGGATTCGTCTCGTCCATCTCCGGCGCCACCGGACCCATCTGGGGCGACGACGACCTGCCGGCCGGCACAGACATTAGCAAGCTGATCCCGCGGATTGCCCGCCAAGGCATCGACGGTGTCACCGGCTCGGTCGACTTTGCCGAGCTCACGCGCCGCAAGTTTTATACGTGCCGCAACGGCAACCGCGTCTGCATCCCCACCACCGTCGAGCAGATCCGCGGCCAGGCCGCCTTGCGCGTCTCCAGCTTCCCACACATTGCCGGCATCGTTGTCGTGTCGACACAGACCCTCACCATCAAGAGCTCCAACTCGGTCTTTTGTGGCGCCCTCTTTGGCTACGAGAAGCCCAATGGCCTCTCCATCAACCAGCTCGTGCCCGAGTTTGACAAGATCCTCCAGATCCTCGTCGAGGTCGACAACGTCCACATGGTCGATGGCATCGTGGTTCCCGAGCACAGCTTCCGGCGCGCCGCGGCCTTTTTGGCCCTGCGCGAGGGCCGCCCGGATGCCGCCAGTGCGTTTTTGCGCCCCGATGGCCTTCCTGGTCGCCACCGTGACGGCTCCGAATTCAAGATCGATGTGCAGATGCGCGTGGTGAAGAGCGAGACGCAGTCCAAGATCCACGAGGAGACGGTCATCGAAGCCGACGAGGAGGACGAGGCCGCATCCACGTCGTCTGTGTTGAGCGACAGCGTTTCGCCCCCGCCCAGCGCCCCCAAGTCGGAGATGGTGTATGCGCTCTGGATCACCTACTCGCGGCACTTGCATGCGGCCTCGACGCGCAACAGCCTGGGCGGCATTGCCTCCCCGCTCCTGTCGGGCGCGGCAACGCCCCTGCACCAGCCGTCTCCGGGCCAGACACCCGTCCACTCGCCCTTTGAGGCGCCGGAGATTCCGTCCGACGACCAGCTGGACCTGCGTGCCGAGAAAACAACCATTGCGCAGTCCCTGACCCGGCAGCTCAAGGAGGCTGCGCTGAGCACGGCAAGCCGGATCTCGAGCAGCCTGTCCCGGCCCGCTTCCGTGGCCCCGTCGCCCGCGCCCGCCGCTCCGCCAACCACGGCCGATGCGCACCTGCGGTCCGCATCACCGGCTTCGCTGCCCCCTGTGACCTCTGCCAAAACAGCCGCGGCCACGCCCTCGCTTGTTACGCCCGCCGTGACAATCACAACTGCCACGCCCAGCTCCACGACACCCGACCTTGCCGTACTGGCCAAGGCCGGGCCCACACAGCCACCGGCGTCTCCAGGAAAAGCGAATGTCACGGTGACGACAACGGCGGTGGCGCCGTCGCCGTCGCCGAACAGCACGAATACGGTCGTCCCGCAAAAGCCCGACAACGTGCCAGCCACGGTCTCCAAGGTGACGGCGGCCGTCGGGTCGCACAAGAAGACGATTGATGATTTCGTCATCCTCGAGGACATGGGCCAGGGCGCGTACGGCCAGGTCAAGCTGGCCAAGGAAAAGGCGACGGGCCGCCGCGTCGTCATCAAGTACGTGACCAAGAAGCGGATTCTGGTCGACACGTGGACGCGCGACCGCCGCCTGGGCACGGTGCCCCTGGAGATTCACGTCCTGGACTACCTGCGGCGCGACGGTCTGCGGCACCCCAATATTGTCGAGATGGAGGACTTTTTCGAGGACGACGTCAACTACTACATTGAGATGAAGCCGCACGGCATGCCGGGCATGGACCTGTTTGACTACATTGAGCTGCGCACCACCATGGACGAGGCCGAGTGCCGCAGCATCTTTGTGCAGGTGGCGCAGGCGATCCACCACCTGCACACCAAGGCCATGGTGGTGCACCGCGACATCAAGGACGAGAATGTCATTTTGGACGGCGAGGGCAACATCAAGCTCATTGACTTTGGCAGTGCCGCCTACATCAAGAGCGGGCCCTTTGACGTCTTTGTCGGAACCATCGGTATGTCCCCGTTGTCGGGGGTTTTCCTTGCCCGTCACTGCCATGGGCTCCTTTGACTTGTGCTAACCATCCGTACACAGACTACGCTGCGCCCGAGGTCCTGGCCGGCGACCGGTACGGCGGCAAGGAACAAGACGTGTGGGCTCTCGGCATCCTGCTGTACACCATCATCTACAAGGAGAATCCCTTCTACAGCATCGACGAGATCATGGACCGCGATTTGCGCATCCCCTACACGATCAGCGACGACAGCATCGACCTGATCCGCAAGATGCTCAACCGCAACGTGAGCCAGCGCATCACCATTGACGAGGTGCTTGAGCATCCCTGGTGCCAGGCCCAGATGCAGGCCTAGGCCCAAGTCCAGACACAGTAGATGCGAGACGACAAGGGAGTACATGATTTTGCCATACATGAGACGAGGCACAAGAAGGAAAATGAGATACAGAAGACGATGAAGACGAGATGAAAGACTTTAGATCAGACTTTTAAAGCAAGTTTGGGACGGAACGTCGGTGGGGACGTGGAAACGGCGGCCGGTCAAGGAAGAGGGAAAGCGGATATGGGAGGTATTGCATCAACCAGATGGTCCATGGAACAACAGCGAACAAGTACCCGGTTTAGGAGTTTCTATTCTTTTTTTGATTTCTATTTTTGATCTCTATATATAACACGATTCCCACAGCTATTTCAACAGGTCTCTTATCAATATGTACATTTTATGGTTTAAAAAATATCTACTGATATATATCAATAAACCCGGCCTACGAGCGTACCTCTACCGACGAGGCGCCGCCGACTCACCAACATGTATATGCGGCGCTGGAGACGAGACCCCGGCCCATGTCCTTTTATCCTGTACGGCGGCACCGTCACGACCGACAGACTGGCCGCAAACACCAACAGATCTAAACCGCCGACTTCAAACGGGCCTCACGGCCCGACCACTCCTCCGTTGGCTTATCCGGAGCGGCAGGCTCCCGGAGTATAGCCTAGCGAGGGAGCTTGAACGGTCGCCGCCGCCGGCCTAAAGTGACGACACACTAAACAATACACCGACTCTCCTTACACTCTTTACGCCATCTACTTTCCTTACTCTTTTGTCTTATTTTATTCTACTCTGTTTTGTTTCGTTTTATTCTGTTTTATTTATACCTCCTCGGTGGCTATTCGAGCCAACCGCACGCAACCGTAACTAGAAAGATTACACACTTAGATCTGTGACAGTTTTTTCCCCAGAGGGTTCTGTCTAGCTAGTCGCCAATAGTCAGGAGTGGCTGAGAAAGGCGGATAATAATAATAATAATATATCAATAAACCCAGTGCCATCAAAGACGGCCAAATGTAAGTAGTAAAAAAAGAACTCTTGAGGATATGAAAATGAAGTCACAAACAATTGATGTTTGACAATGCTTCGACCCGTACAGCGAGGTTATACGACATGCAAGGCGAATGGAAGTAGTAGGCCTTTAATAAAGTTGGTATTGGAAACAAAACTAATCCATAAAATCCTTTTTGTCCTTTGTCCATCAACACATCAATAAAAGCAAATATCAACAAAAAAACCCACAAAATCAAATAGCGGTTATCATACACAGATAGTCGTACAGGTTGCAACAAAACAATGTTGCTCTCCCTCGTTGAAATAGTAAATCAGAAACGAAAGCACAAACCCCCCCAAAAAACATTATTCTTCATAGCCCATCATACACGTTTGTCCACTGGGTTGAACCACGAGTGGAAAAGAAAAGCAAAACGAAACTTGCAGAGGAAGAAACGAGAAAAACATAAAAAGTAAACACGGAACAAGAAAGTATTTGTAACAGGGGCTGGACCGAAAAAAAGTTTTGCTGGCCAAATGCTCGCTTTGGTGGATGCCATGCAAATGCAAGATGCAAAGGTGTGGTATGTTGGATGCAAGCCGTGCAATGCAATGTGTGGGTGTCTTGTCATGTCTTGTCGTTTGCGAATGCAAGAGGAGACTTTTTGGGGGAACAGAAAGAAGGTAAAGAGAGAAAACAGGTGCAAAGAAAACACGAAAAGCAAAATCAAGACATGACACAGTTGAGAGACACGAGAGACGACGTATCGGGGAATAAAACGAGAAAGAAGGAAAAAATACATAAATAATACAGGACGAAGTCGTCAGAAGTCGGTGGTCGGAGGACAGGATGGAAAGAGGGAAGGAAGAAGGGAAGGAGGGAGGAGAATTACTCCTTGCGCGTCAAGATGCCCGATTCCGGGTCATCGTTGCCCGGTTGCCACGAGGGCAGTCCGCGCTGGTGGCGCTGCATGTTGCGCTCGTACGTCCGCTGGCGCGCCAGAGCCTTGTCCTCGTCGGACACGAACCAGTAGTCGTAGTAGGTCACGCGCTCGGGGAAGTAGAGCACCAGGTGGACGCGGGCATCGTCCGGATTGGCCTTGGACGACAAGGGAGTGGCCGTGGGAGCCACAGCCGTGGGGCCCGTCGTCATGCGGCGCAGCTTCTTGCGGCTCTTGTCGTCGCGCACCATGACCTCGGTGAAGAACTGCTTGTTGGTGGCGTCGTCAAAGACCAGCTGGCCGCTCTCGTCGAGTAGCGGGAGCGCCAGGCGCTGGCGGTAGTACGAAGCCTGCAGGCCGGGCGTCGTGCGCTCCGGGCGCGCGCGGTAGCGGTCCATCTTGTCTGAGCCACCAGGCGAGGTGGCACCGGCAAGACCAACGCCGTTCAGGCGGGCAGAGTCCATGTCGGCGTACTGGCGAAGACGCGGCAGCGCGGCGTTGAAGGCAGCCGTCACATCGTCCCAAGCCCGGTTCTTGGTGGTGCGCTGGTACATGATAAAGTCAAGCTCGGCCGTCTCGTACTTGACGTTGCAGTGTGGCTTGGGCATGGCCTTCTTGCTAGACGAAGAGGTGGACGGCGACGAGGCCGATGACATCCGTTCACGGCGAGCGTCCATCTTGGCAGCCATGCGCGGGCTGTTGTGGTAAGGCCCGTTGATAATGGTGGCCACACTGGGCATGACGGGCATGGTAGCACGGCGGCCAAACGCACTGGGGAGCGTCAGAGGTGACACAGGCGTCAGAGGCTCCAGCGACGACCCAACGCCGGGCGGCGGCAGGGTCAAAACTGTTGTGGTAATGTCCTCGGCGCCACCGTGGATGCTGCGGCGCTGCGTGGAGGTGGGCATGGGCGCGGGCAGCTCGTACTGTGCGTTGTAGCGGGGCTGGTAGGCGGTCTGAGACTGGTACGCCTGCTGGTGAGGCTGGTGGTAAGGAGCGGGCTGCATCGAGGCCGAGAAGGACTGGGGCGGCGTGGGCAGATTTGCAAACGACGGCAGAGACGGCAGTGTCGGGATGGTAGCCGGCTTGTAACTATACTCTCTGGGACGGCCTGAATTTGTGGGCGACTGCGGAGGCGAGGGCATGCCATTGGGACCAGTAGTCTTCTGGTTGCTGCGAGAAGAGCAGAAGTAGTTCTGCTCGTAAGTTGAAAAGGGGCTCTGCGTGACCTTGCTGGTGGTGGAAACGGGAGCAGGCAGAGGAGCCTGAACCGACACAGAAGACGTAGGCGCGGCCTCACTATGGGTGGTGCCAATGCTCTTGCGCCAGGCATCGTAAGGTGGCGGCGGTGGACCCGAGACCGAAGACCGCTGGGCGGACTGGGAGACCGGCGAGCCTGTGGAAAAAGACGACCGGGCACTGGCCGCAGCCGAAGAGGAAGACGACGACGACAGAGCTGGCGTCATGGGCGACGATGACAGAGCAGCGGGGGGCTCAGCCTCGACGGTCTCAGAAGACGTGGCTGAGGAAGTGGTGGTAGAAGCCTTGACAGCACTGCAATCGGAGCGCCAGACCTCCAGCATCCCCTCGGTCTGCTGCATACTGGGAAGAGCAACCTCGGAGGGCTCAACATCGGATTCGTCTTGTGCTGTTAGAATTGCCAGGAGAAATTCAAAAAGCGAAACGGGCGCCAGCAAGAATAAGAAAATGAAACATACGAATGGGGGTCGTGGCACCAGAGGCCTCGGCCGTAGTGGGCGTCTTGCGGTCGAGCAGGCCCGTCACATAGAGCGTGGCCAGGATGTCGGCGGCCGAGCGGTCCTTGTCGTCGAGAGTGCGGCCCAGGATGTGCTGCAGGGCCTCCTTCTTCTCGGGAGTCATACCTTGGAAGGAAGTTGATTCACAAGGCGGTGTTGAGGGCTCCGGCGTAGCCGTGGCAGACGATGTGACAGACTGCTGTTGCTGCTGCTGGTGCTGCTGCTTCTTTTGTTGCTGCTTCCGGAGCTTACGCTCGTGCCTGATGCGTCGTTCGGTGATGTAGCGCGAGCTCAGCTGGCTGCCGCGCACAAGGATTGGCTTGCTAACACGACGGCGGTGGCCATTCTGTAGCATATTGGCCGTCGTAGTCTTGACAGCCATAGTGACAAAAGAATTGCAGCAGTTGTTGTGTTACTGTGATGTTGCTTTGTGGAAAAGACCACAGGGGGCAAGAAAGGGATGCAATGAATCGATGCAAGACAAAGATGCAACGACTTGAAAACAAAACTCGTGGTACGGGAGCTGAGAGGGAGGAAAAGACGTTGAAGGGATGAGGAAGATGGAGAAAAGAAAAAGAGAAACGGTATCGAAGGGAGGATGGAGGAGAGATGGGCCTGATATAAAGAATGGAAAAGCAAGACAAGAACGAGAAATGGTGATGGGCAAAGAAGCGGGCGGACGTTGGATATAAAATAGTTGACGACGGGGCGGAGGAGTCGATCGAGTGACTTGCGTGAGTTTGAGTGAGTGCGTGTGGATGTCTCTCTCGATCGTAGAATGGTTTGCCTCTCCTTCTTTCCTTGAGGACGGAAAAAGGCTCGAACGATGACAATGGTGTTGGACAGGGGTGGTGGACGACAGGGAAAGAGGAGAAAGCCAAGGAGGGGACAAGGTGTCAGTACCCGGGACGCTGGACCAAAGTCGCAAGATGCAGAAGAGTGGAGAGTGGAGAGATGGATTAAGAGAAGAGGAGGCGTTGGAGGGGACATGTACTTACTGTGCTCTGTCCCGGGGAGGGGGTAAGAGATGTGACGAATTACAGGTAGCAAGAAAGAAGCAAAGACCGGCTTTAAAGAGAACAGAACAAAACTGCTCCATAGGACATGACGAGAGACGGCCAGGACTGGGAAAATGTGACAGAATTGAAAAGGCACACACAGAGGCAAGAGACAGACCCAGAGCAAGTGAAGAGCCAGGTCCCACAAAACAACCGAGGGCAGGCCCAGGGCAGATCAGATGGGGCGGATCGACAGAGGGGGTGTTAAGAGCAGTAGGTTATGGGGAGATGTAGCTCGGCGCAGCAGTGCAATAGGAAAGATACAAGTATTGAAGTGGGACAGAGGGAAAAGTGATAAATGCACAGGCAGATGAGTGTCCCAGGAGAAAAAAGAAAATAAGAAGAGACCCACTAGCAAGGCCCAGACAGACAACCACACCAACTTAATCAGCTTGAGCTGAGAGGCGTTTGTGTGCAGGGGGTGCATTTTATGAGTGGATACGGAGGGTGTGAACAACCAGGGGGGGGGGGTATTTCAGAATTGGCTGCATTTTCGTTTTTATCGTCTTTATTTTTGGTTCGTGCACCACAGTCAATTCTTCCGTGCTCAAGGAAGAGGCTAGCCTAGGATTGACAACGAATGGTGTGCAACTTGATGTATCTCAGAATATGTCGTACCTCGTATGTCAGAGAGGCGATATATCGATTACGGGACGGGGAACGAACGTGTCCATCTGCGAAGCTGTAGAATGGCGAAACGACGAGAGAATATGCGTCTTGTTGCTGTGTTGTTGACTCGAAGGACCAGGAGGAGCCAATGGGCCAGAAACGTCCAGGAAAGGGAGAGGAGCCGGCCGAGACACCTCGTGTAGCAGGCTCCATTGATGGAGGAAAATGTACTCAGACTCATTGCTCCGGCAGAGAGACGTTGGGACAGGAGACGAAAAGGAAGATCAACGACCCAGAGCAGATCAGGGTTCTGTACAATTAGGGAAAGACACCGACACGGAGAATAAAGAAACAGGAAAGTCAGGGAGCCAGGAACACACACTCTAGGACGCAAGGAACCAACAAACAAACAAAAAGGCAAGAAAAATCAACACAGGAAACGTCTTCAGAAATCGATAGGAGACGCAGGGTAGTGCATGGTGTCACTCGTGTTTTAGTCCGTCTTGAAATTAGACAGCCCCTGTCGACCCTGTTGAGCCTCTCGATTTTGTTGGCTTTGCCTTTGGATGTCTTGCTCGTCGTTTGTTTCTTCTCCATGCCTTCTGTTGGTGCGATGGACGCATACGGAGCACTAAGCACCAAGAAAGTGCCTGCACATCGCAAATTAAATTACACTTCAGCAAACAAGCAAGAAGGAGCCAGGAATATGCCCAGAGATGCATCTCGTTGCTTGCCAACGTCCAGACGCATCCCGGTGCATATCCTTGGCCCCAGGTTCCCGATGCAGGGAGGCCAGAAAAGACGCAAACAAGTGACTCGTCGTACTCAGTAAGACGAACAGGGCAACCGACAACGGGCAAAAAGTAGACCCGTCAACGCATTGAGGTGTCTGGAGGCCCAAATAGGTAGATGGGATTGCCAACGTGCATGTTGACACCCTAGTGCGATGCACGGGGCGTTTCGTTTTGTGACTGGTAGTTGAACCGGATTTATGTCGTACGACGGACGCTGTAATCCGAGTTGAGTAAATATATTTCAAGTACCGATCGCTGTGTGACTGCAGCCCACGCCGTCGGGTGGGCCCTGTAGCCTTATCATAATTGTCTCCCCTCTTGCGTCGTCTGCCGTGGTCGGTGCGTTCTTGCATGTGAGAGTGAATTATAGCCAGCTCTGTTCTGTGTGCTTGATTTATAATGTGCTTCCGTAATCTGTTGTGTCCGAACGTCGTTTTCAGGATGCTGTGCGTGTTATCTTTTGCATTTTTTTGTCAGTTGTGTCATATACACTGACGCGCTCGTCTGACAATTCGTGCTTACTTTAAAAATTCGCACCGGTCGTCTCTCCGTCCGAAGACCCCTCCTTTTCACTGGGCGCCAGCTCTTTTGCGTCACATTTTCTTTTTCTGCAAAGTACTCTCGTACCTGGCAGATGTCTCAGTGGTGATGGGAGAACGAAACAGGATCGTGTAAAACTAACGAACTAAAATGTCGTCGTGCGGTCCACACCAAGACTTGACAAGGAAACGGAGAGGGGCGGAGGCGCAAGACGGAACCATGACGCAGGAGGCGCAAGTTCAAGAAACAAGAGACCGTCACAAAATGACAGAAGTGCAGGAGACCAGCTGCAGGGAGCGAGCGCTTCTTGGACAACGGCCTTTTTTTCTTACTGAGTACATTGGCACCGTGTCTCTCCCTGGTGACAGCTTTGATAGATGAGACTTGCAGACAGAGGTGACAGCCTACCTGCAAGGGATGAGAACCAAAAGAAAGCCACAGAAAATGAAAGCTCGGATGAAGGCGATTAGCGAGAGGCGATGGTCAAAATGAGTACTTCATAATTGGATGAGACCCAGATCTTTGTTGTCGTTAAGATGTTTTGTATATCGTAGCTCCTTCATGGGGCAGTTTTTGTGTCTTGAAAGTGAAGTCTTGAAAGTGAGTGGTAACGCCAACAAATTCCAAGACAATGACACACACACAAACAAGCACACACTTGTTGATTGTATCATTGGGAGCTAATCACGAAACCCAAGATGATGGGCAGGATTTGCGGCCGGGGTAGAGAGTTAGAGTGGTAGACAGACAGAGAGGGAAGAACCCAGGGATATGGCGGGGATAGTGTGTGTGTGTGTGATGTACGCAGCGTATGCGTGAGTTTGTGGCAGCTCGTTCATTGCACTGTGCATTTTGTGTTTATGAGGGTACATTTGGACCGGTGGTATGGGTATTATGGGTCTGGGCCAAGCCTGGGTGTATGCAGAGCGGCCTTACCCCTGTCTGCCGATCATCTGCACAGGGTGGAGACGCGCGCATAAGTGTGGTTGGGAAAACGAGCGGAGACACATGCAGCTCGGAAAAGAGAGTGGGAGGAAATTCTCAGTAAACAGGGCGAATACCCAGAGAAGGCCAAGAAAGGCGTGACTGTGGCCAGGTTGATGTGCAAAAAGGTGACAGGCTGCTGGGTCGAGGGCACAACATCTGCAGGTCGGAATGCGGGAGGGGGCAGGGACTGCACGTACATAGAACCGTGACAATAATGTTCAGGATGACGCGGTAATCCTGACTGATGGATTCAGGATGGCGGACACGATTAAAAAAAAACGAGGAGACTAAAAAATTGCGGCTCCAATAGGGCAAGTAGGAGGAGAACAGGCAGTGGTCGCTGGGCTCGGTGACTCGAACAAACACCTGTGAGACAGTAGCAACTGTTCAAGCATCAAACGCTGGAGAACGAGAATAAGAAACCGTGAATAATAGCAGCGAAAGAGGAAAAAGTAAACAATGGGCAAAAACAAATACGAAGGAACGTAGCCGAGGCTCATGGAGAAATGGAAAAGCAACAGCGCAAAATTGCAAGATCGCAATTAAACCCGAGCGTCGTATTGAGCAATATTTATCAAAAGAGAATAAATATGATCGCCACCGTAAAAATGCAACGCTGTCGTGAAGAAACAAGCGACGAAATACGATACAATAGTAAATGGGGAAATAGGGACTGAGGGACAGTGCCAGTGGCGGTCGAAAAGGTCGTATTCGTCCCAAATTTTCAAATCTCGTAGATAAACAGCGGACGGATCCAGGGTCAGCCCGAATTGTCGGAGCCTAGCCGATGCTACGGTGGGAATACACCGTCTTGCAGAAGGGGACAAAAGGAAACGCGCAATGGCAAAAGCAAATAGGATTGTGAGAGGCAGAAGATGCAGAAGCAGCTGAAATGACACACAAATGACGGCGCAGTGAGAGTGACCACCCAGCGGTCCTGAAGTGCCTCCCAGCGTCGTATTTTGACTTCTTTTCGGCCTAGTGAGTTAGTCTGTGAATGTTGCAATGGCGATACCAGCTCCTGGGCCTCTTCAGCTGCCGGGGGGGCCTCTGCAGAAGCGAGAACGATCGGTCAACGTGAAAGAGTAAAACGGACAGAAGGAGAATGCAAACGAGCAGACGTCGCCCACAACAGCAGCGCTTGTGCAGGCCGGTTCAAAGCCGACTGCCCAGACGCGTCCATCCACAGTAGCATCTTTGGTGCCGTTCCTTGGTGCGAGCGTGGGCGCGATAGGCGGGAGAGATCGCATTCTGACTGGCTGGCAGCGCACCGCGGAACCCGGACGGCGGATCGACAGTGCTAGCGGATGAGGATCTCAAGCTGGTGTGTGTGGGTAAATAAACGATGGAGGGTGGGCGAGGTGAGCTGGGGGGGCAGAAGAACAGCCAAAAGAGGAGAAAAAAGGAGGAAAAGAGAAAGGTCAAAAAGAGGAGTCGGAAAACGACGAGGCCTGCAAGGGATAGGTCTGGTTGGAAAGTGGTCAATAGATACGGAAGGAGGGGACGCCAAATAAGGTGAACGAGGAAAGAGAGAAGGAGCGAAGGTGCGAGGACAAAGAGCAACAAAAAGCATCAAGAAAGGAAAGAGCTTCCGACTGTTGGTGAAGGAAGCTGCGAGGTGCGTTTATTGAGGAGTTAGGCGACGAGCGATAGAGCTGGAGGAAACTGCGATCGGTGACATTCGACATGGTGAGGGAAGGAGCCAAGCAACAGCAGACAACATCTACTTCTGTACGACTGAAGTGGCCAGAAATACTCTTTCCTACGTACTCCGTGCTCCGTATCTCTCAACTGCACTTGTCGATAGCGCTCGAAGATGGACTTGACGCAGGACGGCTGTGCCTGGCAGAGTCTCAGAAGTCGACAGCGCGGCGCAGGACCAACACGCAAGCGACACGCAGGAACATCAAAGCGGATACAGAATACGTGCCCTCTGCATAACTGGGCGGGCGAGAATGGGTAAAATACGGAGAATATTTCTCGTATCTTCATTCAGATACGGAGAAAAGAAGCAGCCAGAAGGGATTGACAGGGCCGGATACGACGCTGAATTCCCTTGCGTCGCGGGATGGACGATGTCAACAGAGGACGGTCGAGTACGGATGACGAATGGAGGACCTGAAAACCTCTGGCCAAAAGAAGCAATATGGGCTGGAAAAACGACCACCTTTCCAAGGCGCTATCCCCTGTTGGGAGAACGAATTCCAAATTCAAAAGAGGGTCTCTTGCAGCAAAAGAGGGTTGTGTGGATGGATGTGTGGAGAGAGACCTGTGGAGAACTGCCTACTAAAACGAATGGAAAAGAGAAAAATAATGGAGAGGCACTGGACTCGACCATCACCAAAAAAAGAGAGGAAAGTGATCACTTTTGGGGGGAGGCTGCTGCAGACAGGGGTCAGATCGCCGACCTCACGATACAAAGGAGGTGCCCGGCGAGGAGGGTCTGTCTTTTTAGGTGTTTTGGTCTGCTTTTGGCTTTGCATTGGTGTTATTTGATGCTGGTTTGTCGTTGTTTTATATCATATTTCTCGATTCTGTCACATTGTCTGACATTGCAGTTGTCATTTTCTGCCACCAAAAATGTCTGTCTGCATGTTTCGTTTTTGGCATCAACATCCGCCTCCGCATCCACGCATGCACAGTCGTATCCAAGGTTTTTGTGCATTGTTATGCAATGGTATCTTTGCGTTGTTTGTTCGTGTCGTCTCTTTCTTTGACCGGCCAGTTTCTACCCACATCATCTCCGCCTTCGTTTCTCCCTTGTCTCCTGTTTTCCGTCTTCCTTGTTCCCTGTCCTTGCCCCCCTGCTCTCTCTCCTCTTTTTAATCTTTCCAGTCAGCGAATAACGAGCCGAACACACATCTAACGGCGGATGAACACCAAAACATCACGCAATCCAACGAAATTTGGGGTTTTCCACTGTGGATATGTTCCGTTCGGCCCCCGTTCCATGTCCACTGTGACTTGAACGAATTCAAAGACGCCTTGTTCTCGGGTGATCTCCAACCAGGATCACCCGTCCGCTGCAGCGGCCGGGCACAGATCACGGCATTAGTAGCGAGCATACAATGTAGGTAGTGACTACGGAGGAAGTGTTTGGGTGCGGATCTGGAGCCAGAATGCGTTCTTCTATACACCGCCAATATCTGTACCACGTACGTCATGCTACGAACCGCTTGCTCTGGAGACCCAAGGACTCAGTTGTACCCCGTACAGTCCCGTCCTGGACGCAAAAGCTTAATCCGGCCCCGAAAGCATGTGAAAGGAGCAAACATGGTTTTTGTGGTGCTTTTTCTCATCAGCGGCGTACTCGTATGGACGGGACGAGGTCGACAGTGGCCCATCTGTATGACCAACCGCTTGCTGCCGAGCGTCACCCTCTCCTCCTACTCTATTGGCGCTGTATTGGTTCTCATTGGCGGACACGGCAAATAACCGTCCCCTTGGCCAGACCAGGGACCTCGATTTTCTCGGAGTTAGCGTTGCATTCGTCTGGGCACTGGGTTGTTCTTTTGGTAATGGAGGGGAGGGTGTCGCAGCTGAAGGAGGGTGGGCTAGGCCGAAAATGCACGACTAAAGTCAAACTTCATGCAAAGAATTGCAAATACTTTGTACCAAGAGGAAAAACGACATGTCTTGGTGACGGGCAGCTTGCAACACAACCACACAAATTGCTGCGTAGTGTACGGATGCACCTGACAGGACTTATTCGCCTCAAACAATGTCATATAAAAACATGACAGGTCGACTTTTCAAGACACTTTTCTTTCAGCAGGCCTCCACCGGGCTCTCCCATATGCAGAAACTGATAGACAGCGCCCGCTCTGCACTGTCTTTGACTGTTCGTGTCCGTGTGCTTCTTTGGTCTCTGTTGGTCGAACGATCTTCTGGTCTTTCAAAGCAGTATTGCGCCTTTTCTGCACCTCGCTTTGTCAGAATCACGAAGCAAGCCCCACGGTCTGTTGATCTAGGGGTCGTTCCCCTATTCGTCATTGCCCTGCTCACCTTTACACGTAACGGTTCGGCTATTCATACTTGCATCCTGCCAGTCTCGTACTTTGGTTGACGCCGTCACGGGTCGTCTGCATGAACTCTCCCCACGCCTGCCCCTCGGCAGTCAAACAATGTTGGTCTCGACCACTCAGTTGCCCACAATCACACATTGTTCTCTTACGCTGGTTGCAACGTCTGTAAAAGGGCGGATCGCATATGTGACGATAGTGAATGACTGGATGTATAAACTTTGAGGTAAATATGTAGCCTGTATGTATTGGAGAGAGCTGCCAAAGCCGATGCAGATTGCAACTAGGGCAGAAGGCAGTGCACCAGGGGCATACGACCCTGGGAACCTCGCAGCGCCACCTTGATCATTTGACTCGAAGGGGTCCCGAGAGTTAGCAACGCCTCCGAAAGAGGAAAAAGTCTTCCCGATGCACTTGGCCTTCACCATTCCTCGCGATCGAAAAAATAAATAAAAAAACAATGCAACCAGGATTCAAAACCCAGTGTCATTCATATCCACTGTATACAGACAAAGGCGGAAGAAAAAAGGAACAGAACGATCATCCTAAGAGGCTTCCTCTTTTGTCCGCCATTCTTCTGGCAACGTGCTGGGTGGTCCTTTCTCGCCAGCCCCTCGAAAAGAAATCAATAAGAAAGGTTAGAAGTGAACGAGACAATCACGTCGTAATAGCCTGGTCATTTTTATTCTATCACTTGTGTACAAAACTGAAAAGTAGTCATGCAGCATGTACATTTTTATTTTGTCATTTTTGTAGCAAATTTTGAAGTAGCTATCCATAACTGCATCGCAGTAGGCGCATTGTTTTTCCTTATTCAGTCAAGTTGAAAATGCACCTGCCCCGCGCGTGACCTGCCACTTTTACACTTCACTTCACATACTCTGTGCATTTTATTATACAACATGCACATCCTCCTGCAGCCGTCTCAGTAACACGACTCGAACCTGTCCGTCTCCTCCGTGCCGCCATCGAATCTCACAACTCAACGAACGGGGCTGTATCCGGGCGTGCATATTTCCAGTTTAACGGTCACCAAGGGAGGTCGGATCATAATCCTTGTATCCTAGCCACTTATTTTGGGCCACCTTTATTTTATTTTTTTGTCCGTTTGTTTATGCAGCTTGCTGTCCCTGTTTTTGGCGTGCATATCGTCTAAGCCCATGTACCAGCATAACGCATGCACTTTTTTCTTCCGGCTTGTTGCGTGTTTCCCAACAAAGAGGCGGGACCGGACCGTGCATAACGACGTACCGACTTTTGCGCCACGGATGGTTCCTCGGTCACATCTCAATCACACCAGACGAAGCAGGAATCTGGCGCAATCTGTCGTTCATGGCGACCAGGCCCACTGGTTCCTTGGGTCAACCTAGCCTTTTTACCATCCCTTTCCAAGCCATAAAACCTAATGTCGCGAAAAAGCACTGACCCGCAAAAAGCACGGAGCATAGGACATGGAAGAGGGCACGACGCATTGCGTTGTGCACTAAAATAAGCAAACGGTTGACGGTTGGTCTTTTTTGTTGGTGCTGGAGAACGACGGAAAGAGGTATGGAAAAGGGCGACGTCAAAAAACAAGCACGGACACTGCGGAGTAGCACGTAGTGTAGCATGAGAGCATGGAACAAACGTGGTCTTACGACATGGACTGCAGGGGCCAACACACAGAAAATGTTCTTGTTACCGACAATCCGAAGGATTGCAGTATTTGCAGTGCGTGGCAAGAAAGGAACAGTTCGTCGCACCCCTTCGACATGCGAAAGCAATGGCCAGGACAACGGGAATGAACCCGACAGTTAGGTACAGTGTAGCACTCGCACTCCGGATGGACGAATCCAGCTCAGGCCTAGATTCTGGGACACTGCCCTCCCACCCAGAGCTGATCACTGACAACGCAGGTTTGTCGCTGTGCATGGCACCAATGGCCAACAGATGCAGACAGAAGGGGGCCATCCAATACACCATACACCTCAAAACAAGAAAAAGCGTCCACGAGGAGAGGAGGGAGAGATGGAGGCAGTATTCCGTCGTAAAGGGCACTCTGGAAAAGCCCTGCCTTCCCGACAACCGAGATCGACAGTTAAGCTTCCCCTTCTCAGGAGAGCCGACGCCATGGCGCATATGCACCTCCTTCGTCTCGCGCCATTTTGGAGGCCTGCAAGCAGCCTAACCTCGCGGAAACCTAACAGAAATGGAACAATATAGAACAAATAGAGACAAGGAGCACAATGAGCAGCAGGAAATGACCCAAATCGAGCAACATGACGACAAAAGAAGAATAAAGCCGCCCGCTTTTCTTGCGGACACGAGCCAGTATCCCTCCCTGCTTGCTGTGGGCGCTGCTGGGAAGCGGGGGAGTGGGGAAGTGCAGAGGAGTGAACGGCGACCACGATGCGACATGTATCCGCGTTGTGCACAGCCAGATAACCGGAAGGAATGGGCAAGGGTGACGTCGTCGATGCGTGTGTGTACGTCGGAAAAGGCGCAAACACTTTGTACAAAGTACGGATGCCGTTCTTGGGGTCGGTGATCGTCGTCTGGAAACGAAGCGAAGGCCGGATGGCCCATGCAGCTCAAACCATATACAGTAAAAGAAAAGAAAAAGAAAAAGAAAAAGAAAATGACGCTGCCGTTACTTCATAGATGCGCGTGGTTCGCCCGCGTCCTGTGTGTGCATGAGCATATGGTAGGGCTGGTTCGGCCGAACGGTTTGAATGTTTTGAAATCCGTCGTGCGGAGTCCTCGTCCCGGGACATGGATGCCTTCTTCCGTAGGAACAAGAGGAGGAACGCTAGGGATTTTTTTATGGCTGAAGCGAGACGAGATCAAGGGGGCGGTGAAAATGTTTGCTGTTTGCTGTACCACAAATTGTGTCAACGACGTCAACGGCTGTCCAACCGCAAGTCGTATGTAAAAATACAAGCAGAAAAGAGACTGAGAGAGAGAGAGAGAGAGAGAACGGAGAGGAGGAAAACAAGGCCAGACATACGCCATGGTGTTGCACAAGGCTCTGTGTCAGTGCTGTTGTCTTTGCCCTGCAAGAACCATACTGTGCACGCACTGACACCTACAGTGGGAGCTTGTCTCGTTCTCGTGTGTGACTGGCTGACGATGGGAGAGGGAGCTTGTGTGTGTGGGGAGGGGAGCTGTTCTTTGCTTGGGACGCTATCGAGTGGGGCCGTCGGCTCGGTTTGGTACGGAGTTAGTGCGCTGCCGGGCCAAAATATGGGTCCCCGCAAGATGCTAGCAGCTGGGAGGTGGGACTTGGGAGACAGGGGACCCACTCGCACCTCCCAGGGCCCCCCAGGTTCAGCTGCGTCGGGCACTTTGGCAACTGGGCTGCTGGGCTGCCGGGCTGCTGGCCTTTTAGGCGGACTTTGGCGGAAGACTCGACATTTCGTCTCGATGCTAGCGTGTGCCAGTGCTCCTGTACCCAGTAGGAAGGGCCGGCTACGGCAGGCGAGACCCGCGCTGGGGGGGAGGGAGGGGGGGGAGGGCCAGGGAGAGATAGAGAGAGCGACCAGCCAGCCTGTCGGAGCTGATTGCCCAATCACAGGGTCCAGTTTTCGAGAAGCTAACCACTAATGCAGTATACGGCCGCGCCAGGAGCACTTTTTGGACGCAGCCCCGACCGCGCCAGGGCGCCAAATGCACCAAAATCGAGAAGGTGGAAACGAGAAGATCAAAAGGATGCGCAACAAATGGGCAAACCCTTTCATGGAAGGCACTGGGAAAGAGGGTCGGCGTTCCTGTGTCCTGTGCGTCGAGGGGCCTAAAAATAATGACAGAATTCGAGAATGTGGCTAGCAGAAATGGGACGACGTATTTCGATTGGCCAGAAGGCGCACTCGGCCTTGTCCAGGCAAGAATCTTGCGGCGAAGTGTTGCTCCAAACATTGCCGGTATGGACATATTTGTTGAGAGAGTTATCAAGAAGAAAGTCAAGAGGAGCAAGTTCATCACGAGTACCGTCGAGTCATTTTGGCGCGTCGCTGAAAAGAAGCAGTGGCAGGAGGGAAGGTTGGGGGGAGCCCGTTCAGAAAGAAGAGACTGGATACTGGCGAGCGTGTAAATTATGTGCCCACGGCTACATACCCCATTTCGATTACGTCGACTTTGGACATGCTGTGGGTGTTGCCGTGATACGATTTTGTATGTGTCCCCATTGTTATGGCGGGAAGTTGCGAGGTTTTGCGAAGTTTTGCGAGTGTGACAGCGTTTTGTCTGGGCTTTTGCTGGCTTTTGGCGCTGGCTTCTGGGGACCAACCGTGATCGGCTGACTGCCGCGTGGGTAAGATTACACCGCGCAGCGCTCGTAATTGCTCAATGCCCTGGACTCAGCCCTGGGCTGGCCCGTGCTGGGGAGTCAATCTTGGTGCATGCCATCGTAACGTCATATCACTGCGCTGTAGGATTTTCTTCTTTCCTCCGGATTTGCGTTGGCTGTGTCCCTGTCCTTGTCACTGTTTATCTTACAAATACGATTTACAGCCAGTGTATCATCCAATATCTGTCGTTTTTTTTGTCTCAGCCATATCCATCTATCAGCTCATGGTTGGCCTTTGCTTCCGCCCAGGGCCGTATGTGTGTACCTGAACGATCACGTCCATGTCCCGCCCATTTTGCCTTCTGTACCCTCAGCTGTCCCCCTGTCTCCTCTCCTCTTTCGCCTCCCCGTGCCTCCCTTGCGTTGCGCCTGTGTGCTTTTCTCCCCTGGCCATCCGAGACTTTTTGATGCAACCATACGGAGCAAATTATGCAGTAGCGACGAATCCAAGATCGCATACACATGTTCAGTTGTCCAATCTGTAACAACGACCAACACCGATGCTAGAAAGGGAGGGAGGGCGTGCAAGACTGTTTAGACGGCTTGGAGCCAGGTGTTGGCTCGGCCGCTGCCGTCGATCGCTCCTCGCTTGGGCGTAGATGGGTCTCACAACAGCCTCTGGCGTCAGTTGGCTTCACAACATATGGGTCTTCGATGCTCAAATCATAGAATCGTACGTACGTAGTCCTCCAAACTCACATGTATTTTGTCTTGAATGTTTCCCCATTCGTGCATTAGGCTCCATGATTTATTTTCTCCTTTTCGTTGGCAATATTTAGATACGATGGCAATACGTCAAAGCCAAGATCATCGAGTGATGGGTGCTGATGGTAGATGGATATTGACAAGAATGCATTGTATCCGGAAGCAAAGTAAGAGAAATACAAGCTTGTAGTGGCCAGGGCACATCCTAGATAGCATGCAAGGACTAAGAGGAACAGAAAAAATGTGGGGGAAGAAGGAGGAGACAGACAAAGAAGAGAATATCTTGCCTTGGCTATGCACTACTCCCAGTCAAAGACATCCACAAATGTTATTATCCCGACCTGTTCGTACAGTGCGTCGTGCCTGTACCTGCTTAACTCATAAAAGACAAAGTACAAACCAAAGAGGCAACAGACTTTACCAAAAGGGCAAGATGCGAGCAGAATACTCGAGAACGTAAAACATAAGCAATAGTCAGCCAAAAGCTAACATATGCGGGACAACACCCCTCGCATGGCTAACGGAGGAGGAGGAGAGAATAAGTCGCTAAGCAACGGGGTGTGCATATTCGTGGCGTGTGGTTTGTCATGGTCCTATTTTTTTCTTGATTTCTCTTGTTTTTTATGCACCATATTATTCTTCTTTCTTCGTGCTAATACTTCCACACTGTTACTGTTCCGAACCAAGACACGTACCTTCACCTGCCTTTGTCTGTGGCCATGCTCTCTGGCCAATGCTACTCTGTTTAATGTCTCTCTTAACTGAACACGGCCCCGTAAGACAAGACCCTGATCAACTGTGCTCGAGCACGAGTGGCCCAGCTAATGAAAACGAGTAACTCAAGTTTGAAGCCCGCGTCCGATGTACCCTACAGACCTCCAACAGACACCAGTTGACAAAGTGAAAAGTTAGGACGACGAGTCGACAGGTGACGGATGGCAGGTGACAGATGATAAGCGAACGGAGGTTTTCTCCGCTCGACATTGCTTTTGCAAGAGGGTTATATTGACTTCTTGTTTCTTTTCGAAACTTTTAAAGTCTGCCCTCGGAGCTTTTGTCTTTCTCTTTCCCTTGCTCCTTTGTCCAGATACTGACATAGTCTCTGGGCATCTACCATATCTAAGAATTGTTTCTTTTTTTTTTCTTTTTTTGGTCGCTTTGGCTATATTGTCCGTCCTCCTCGGAGCACTCAGTCATATCCCGCATCCCTTATGTTCTGGTTCCTGGGCCCAGTTTTCAGAAAAGCTCATCATCGGGCATTTTATGAAAACTTTGGTGCCTGTTCCTGGGCCGGACTGGACTGCGCTGCAACCTGTACCTGACTGTATGCCCATCTTGGAGCGTCCTTTCTCCCCATTAGTGTGCTCTTGGTGCCTTTATCCCGACAGCAAGGGCACACTTGGTGGGCAGAGTTGGCGACGAGCGTGCATTGGCCTGTTGTTCACAAGAAAGAAACTGCATATACAACATGAGACATGCAGGTGTCCTAAAAAAATAAAATAAATAATAGGGCATCCACGAAGCAAATAGGCACGCTTGTCTCACTTCTTATTCTTTTCCCACAGGAAATGCCCTCCACCGTGTGCCGTGTGCTTGTGTCTGCTTACGGCTCCCAAGCTCAAAAAAAAGCCGATTGCCATCACGTCCCTTGCGTCAAACTCGGATCTCACAAAATCGTAATCAACACAACACACTTACCTGCACACTCCCAACGGACTATGCTGGCCCATAAGTTCCCCTCCTTTTTTGGATGTGTGCTCCTGCAGGAGGAGCAGAGTAGACAGATGCGGGGCGAGTGTATGCAGACAAGTAAACGAAAATGAGAAACAATAACCAGAACATATGAGGAGGAACGAATCCACAAAAGTAGAAACAAAAAGGAGTGGAGACATCAAGTGAAAAGACGCCAAACCCAACATTATCAGACAAAACGTAGATGTCGACATCGACACGAATCAAAAGGCCAAGGACCTATAAGGAGCACCTTCAAACCCTTTCGGTCTCACAGAAGTGCAAAATAATGCCACGCCCCTGTTTATCCAGCCTCCCGTTACTTGTCTCATCGCCAGATACTTTTGTTACTTACCACCATTAGGTCCGGTCCGATGTCAACAGACTAAACTGCCGATGGTTTCCGACGTTGCGTAAAACGGTTATATCTTGCAATGACACCCATCATGTCCGTCAAAACGCGTCGAGACACGGCGAAGCGCGTTCAACCGTCCAAGACTGCCCGAACCACGGTCTCAGAATGGACAGGTCCGCTTTCGTGCAATGGTAGTCTGTTGCACGCATTGCATGAACAAAGAAGACTACTGCCAAAATGAGACCAAATAGGATATGCATCGACAAAAGGAGCATAAAAACGAGTGATAACAGAAAGGAGTTGTCTCATATGCATTTGATATGCAGGGCAAAGAACACGGAACAAAAGGACACAACTCGCAAAATAAGACACGGGAAACAAAACAGAGAGAATATCGTCAGACGTGCCCATGCTGTCATCTTACGACGTATCTATACGAGCTCACATATCATAAAAATATTGAGTATATAATTTCTCGTACATATGCAACACGTATACTATTTGTTATGCAGCCGGGGGTATTCTAAACATGCTGCGGCCGTTACGACCCGTCTCGTCCGTTGGATTTGCCGCTGTCATGCTTTGATGCTTTGTATTGCGCATCCCATGCGGTTGCCCACGCACTCGCGCATCACGCACACACGCACACGCAGGTACGCCTCCTATCCACATATGCATTGAGTGCCTGATGTGTGAAGTCCAATGTCTGATGTCTGGGTCCAGTGCCGATCCAAGGCTCACAGCCGGGAGCTCGGCTTGCGGACAGAGCCACCACGGCCACCACGGCTGCCGTTGGCATTATTGGCACTGCTCGCACCAGCTGAAGTGTCTGACTTGTTGGACGGGGACTTGCCGTTTTCTTCTTCGCTCAAGCTGCCCACATCGTCTCCGTCAACGCCGTCGCCTTCAGCCCCCTGCAGTGGCTCCGATTTGGCCTGCGCCCGGCCTGCCGATCCAAGCCGTCCGTGCTCCCTCCCTTGCTGCTGTGCATCTCCGCGACGTCCTTGTCCTCGTACTCCTTCTCGTCCACCCCCCTCAACCACCACGCCCAGTTCGAGGCCTGCATCCACAATGGCGCGTCGTTGTTTGCCACCTGCAGTTGTCGATGTCGCCAAGGTCGGTGTTGGTGTCGAATTCGTCGCTGCTGCGATCCCCGCAAAGGCCTCGTCGTCGCCACTAAACCGCCTGCGTCGTGGCGAAGGCTCTTGGTTAGCTCTTATTCTGAAAGCAAATCTTGACTGTTTTCGTTTTCTTGTTTTCTCCTTTGGGGATGGGCCCATCTCGCCTCCTCTCTTATTGTCCCCTATTTCTCTTTCTCTCCGACGTGGTGCCTATTTTGTCATTTGCATCAACTGTAAGACAAGCCATCTCTTGACCACTGGTCAAAGCAGGTACCCATTGGCCATTCCACCTTGTTTGTGGGTTTTCACCTGCCTCTTTCTTCGTTTCTCGTTTTCCTTCTCAGCCAGTCGCATCTCTTTGTTCTCGCTGCCTCCACCTGCCAAACTACAGGGTCTATCAACGCATGAAACGGTGGGTGCTCAACACTCGACAAGCAGAAACGATACCACGGACGACGCAAATCCCTTCCCGTTTGCTCATCGATGCCTAGATGTGGTAGTGCCTCTTCATTTCCTCCTCACATCTTGCATGTCGTGTTTTGCGTCCCTTGCCACGGCCTTTTTCAAACTCGGCTGTGTCTCCTCTGTATTCTTGCTTCTTTTTCTTTTGGTGCGTACGGTTGGACTCCACTCGAAGATGTACGGAGAAGCCAAAACAACAGAGGAGGCCACGCCAAGAGGCTCAAGCCGACCTGCAATACACGGACGTTGCAGGAGAGAAGAGGGGAAAGGCATCGAGAGACAAAGATGGGCAACGATAGACAGGGGAACGAGGAGAGAAGCGTGAGAAGAGAGGAAAACAACGCATACAACTACAACGTAAACAAGAGGGAAGGGAGAAGACGTCTTGGTGGAGTGTCTACAGTTGATAAACCAGCAGAGCACGAACAAAAGGCAGAAACAGAGGCAGAGACAGACACGCCAAAAAGAAGGGCAAGACAGAAACGGCGCCCGAACGAATGAAGAACCGCAAGAACAACATAGGCAAGACAGAAGGACTAGGGAAAGGGGCGACCCACCATCCGCGTTCCTCGCCCTCGCTGAGGAAGCTACAGTCGCAGTTCACAACGCAGTCCCAGCCGCCGCCAACGCCCTGGCCGCCTATCCATGCCTCGCCTGCCAGCGTATGAAACTGATCGTCCCATGGTGGCACGTGGCCGCGCAGTGTCGATGGTGATGGCGGTGGTAGCGGATGTCGTGACTGTAGTGATTGCAGCGACGATACATTCCGGTGCTGAGGATGTGGGTATTGGCGATGCTGTTGTCCTGGCAGCTGTTGCTGTTGCTGCGGCTGTTGCCGTTGCTGTTTTTGTTTCTGTTGCTGCTGCTCAGACTGCGACTGCAAGGTCCTCCGCCGAAACACACTCAGCCCGCACGTAAATGCGCCAAAGTCTTCCGTCTCGACGTCGTCCGGCACCTGTCCCGTCAGCACACGGCCCATCGCAATAATCGTCGCCGCGTGCGAACAGACGACAATCGCGCGCACGCCCTCGGCGTCGCACTGCCGCACAATGTGGCCCAGGGTCGCCGCTACGCGCGCGTGCAGCTGTGCCATGGACTCGCCGTTCCGGAGCGGGACCACGCCCGAACCCTGCCCGCGCGACTCGTAGCCCAGATCGATCCAGGGAAAGAAGTCGTCGTGCAGCTCCTTAAGCGGTGCGGGCTGCGGCTGGTCAAAGGGCGCCGGGCCAAACCAGTCGACGAGGCCTGAGTCGCAGCGGACAGCCCATCGCGGGGGAGGTGGCAATGGGCCTTGGCCATGACCGTGTCCATAGTAGGTGGGTGTAGGCTTCCCCGCAACAATCTCGACAAACGGCTGGATCGTCTGCAGACAGCGGTAGTACGGACTGCTGTAAATGCGCTCAGCGGGCACGGGCATGGCACTGCTGGCCAGATGGGCGCCCAGCTCGCGAGACTGGTCAACGCCATGCGATGTCAAGGCCGGATCGGCCGGGATGCCCGTCGGAGAGGGTACAAACGCTGTGTAATCACCCGTCTTGGGGTTGACCACCCAGTTTGAGCGAAACTGCAGACAGTCAGTATATTCACAATTTCCGTATCAATAGCCAGCCTTCACGTACACCATGGCGAGCCACGTAAATATATTCGAGAGGCATCTTGACTGAAAGTCGATAAGGGATTGAGATGCCGAGTGGCAACGGAGAAGGAGTAAGGAGAGGAGAAGGAATAATGCTTCCACCTCGATAACATGGCGTTTTTCTCCAATATACTCAGTATAAAGCAGAAACGTAACTGATACGAATCCTGTCAAATACCAATTACAACAAAGACGTTGCAGTTGGTGATGTTGAAGTCGGAGCTACTGCCTCGGCTTCCAAGTCGTCACGTGGTTGGTCGACCTGCTGTCATGTGACTTTAACTTCACGTCGCTCTCTACGTACCAAGAAGCGCGATAAATGTAGGATATCATCTCTTTACCGCTTTATATAATGTTATAGATACAAGCCACGCCTAAGTGTTACACGTAAAACGACACCGCAAATGCCCTACTCGCCATCCTTCTTTGGCAATGCGCGACGCAGCGGCTCAAGCCCAAAGATCTCGTCGGTGGTCACCGGTCGAGGCCGACCGTCCGACGAACCATCCATATTTGTATCCGCAAGAGGATCATCGTCACCGCTACCACCTAAAGGTGACTGGTTGATCACCTCGCCGAACAAAAAGGCGTGCCGTGTCCGGCTCGCTGCATTAGGCCGTGGTGGCTTCTTGGGTGGAGAAGACGAACGCGCCCCGTCGTCGTGGTGGCCACCGCCGTTGTTGTTAGCAAGACTGCTAGCGGTATCACCAGGTTCCAACATCCACGAAAACGAGGACTGGGCTAGAGTTGAGCGAGTCGGGATCGTGTGCGGCTGCTGCTGGTCCGCAGGCGGCGGCGTTGGTTGCTTTGGTTGTGACTGCTGCAGTGGCTGCGAAGGCGGTGCCTCCACCACTTCAGACTTGGGTGGTCTTGTCGGCAGAGTTGGGGCCTTCTCGTCTTCAGGGCCTTTCAATCCGCTACTTTCGACATCCACATCCATATGATCAGCATCGTCGTCTGCCGACGGAACCTCTGTCTGGGCCAATGGCGTCACAGGCTCACAGTCATTTTCTGGAGCCATGCTCTGAAGCAGCGGCGTTCGAGGTGCAGCGCTCGTGTCAGCAGCTGGTGATTTAGACTCTGTCGAGGCGGCCGTGACTCCGTGCTCCGGTGACGCCTCTTTCTCTGATACTGACGTGGTAGTGTCTTCCGTCGTACCCTCCGTCGGGCTATTCGATTGCGGTTCGTCCACGGGCAGGCTGAGCGTCGAGTCCTCAAGGTGAACTTTAACAAATTGCACTTTGGCGGCAGCCAGCTCCACCTCTTCCAGCCACTTCTGCCACTGCTGTTCCTGCTCCTCCCATGCCACCGCCTTGTCTGTCTCATTTTTCTCTTCACCGGGCACGCCAGCGGCCGGCTTTGGAGGTGCTGCCCGTGCCACAGTCTTCAGAGTTGTCACCGTCTCATCAAGCATCTTGGCCAGCTGCTGGTTTCGTTGCTCCAGCTCCGTCATGATGCGCATGGCCTGGCCATAGGAAATACGCTTGCCGTCTGGTGTTGGAGAGAACAGCGATGCGATGCCCTTTCCATCGCCGCCAGGGACACGGTTCATAGCCGCAGCTTGCCGTGCGTCTTGGTAGCTCTGGGCCATGTTGCGCTTAATTTCACCGACGGCGTCGCGGACTGCACGGTTGATTCCAAGTTTCTCGCCACGCTCCAAAACACCCTTTGCCGCGCCTTGGAACAGGGCTTCCATGCCTTCACGGCCCTGGAACAGTCGCGACGATGATGGTGATTGCGATGTCCCATCACCGCCGGCAGCCAAGCCCAGCCCTTCCGCAGATCCCGAGCCCGAGTTCGAGCCATGTCGTGACACACGTAATGGCGATCGTGCCACCTTGAGTGTGCGGCTCCGTATACTGCCCAGGCCTGCTGCAAAAGCGGCTGCTGGTGTCGTCGGTCGCGATGAGCTGGCGGGGGAGCTGCCGAGTGGTGAGAAAATGCGCGAAGGTGTACGTCCCGTGTACTTTAAAATCAAATTGGAACCTCCGGCTGCGTCGAGGTGGTCCCGCAGATAGACCGCGTCGTCTACAAAGGTGTGGGGGCCATGCGGAGGCTGGGGTGCCGGGTATTTGAGTAGCGACTGCAAGGCCACTGAATAGTCCGCCTCGAGAACTTTAAACACCAATGTTAACAAATGTATTCATGAATGGTCCATCGATAAGTCAGAAGGGGGCTTTGGCTTACGCTTCCAGCGAATGCGAAGCAACATGGCGACAGAAATAAGAGGGACAAGATGCAGTTTGGGATCAAAAGCAAATATGCTGTCCCACAGAATCAGATGCTGCTTGAAGGGAAATTCCCGTCCAAAAAGAAGGCGGATCCACCGAATCAAGAAAATCTGTGGTAGAATCTCAATATTCTTGAGATGGATGGCCAGCTCCGGATCGACCTTCATCAGTGTTCCTTCATGAATCTCTTTGCTGAGTTCGACGATGGCGCTCTCTTCCGCTCCGTCGGCGAGGATGGTCGAAGAAGTCGGTAGAGGAGAGAAGGGGTCGCCCGTCATCCCTGTTTCGTGCGTGCCAGTTTTGCCAGCCGCACTGTGAGTACTGCTCATCTCGTAAAATGCCCGTGCCTGGCTCATGACCTTAACAAACAGGGCATAGGCGTCATGCTCTATAAAGCAGCCGTCCAACATCTCGATCATGTCGGCATCCTCGGCTGCCGACGCCTCTTCGAGGCTGTTGCTCTCAATGACGTCCTCGTGGAGGACGTAGACAAGCGGTGCCAAGAGCTCATGCATACCCTGCCGGTAGCCGCCAGCGCCCGGGTTCTCTTTGCAGTACACAAATAACACATCCAAGATGAGCATCTGGATCTCTTCCTGGTGGTAGAATGGGTCGTCAGGGAGGCGCTGAACGTCCTGGAGGATCTCGGCCCGCACAAGCTCATCCCGTCGAAACGTATCCCAAGGTGACTAATAAGGCATCAGTACAAACGGTGGCTACCGCCAGGACCGTCTCTTCACCTTCCATGATGAGCACCCACCTCTGGGTCGTCCGCCAGCGGATCGACCGTCAACTCGGCCAGCTGCTCGGGGTGCTTGATGAAGCGCATGTAGGACCCGCGCATTGCCTCGTAGTCCTCACGGGCCTCGCGCAGAATGAGGCTGCCGTCGGTGGCCGAGTCCTCATCACGGAAGAGCAGAAACGTCTTCCAGCAAACCGACCGGCAGCCGGCCTCACATGGGCTGCTGGGTCCATTGAACTTAACCGCCCGCTGCAGCGCGGGGAGATCGCCGCCGTCCTTTTGTGTTTCTTCCCATCGCTTCCTACCAGGGTGTCAGCAAGCCCGTACATTGCAAGATTCGAAAGAGGCCCGGCGGCCGGCCAGTCCTGTGCGTCACAAGAGTCTCAAGTCACATAATTGACATTCTCATACCTGCTTTCGTCCAAAGTCCGCATGTTGCTCGGACGGCTGCCGCTATTGTCAAGAAAAGAGCATTCACAGGGCAGGCGATCCGATAGGCGTGGCAATAAATGAGAAACAGACAACGGAAATCATAGACGAAGAGAAACTGCGTCAGATCGCCGGGAAACCCGCTGCTTTTGTTTCCTTTCCGTCGTCCCCGTTGGAACAATGACGCGCGACCGATGGCTCTCACACGACAGGCTTAGCGGCCTCGGAGGTCGGTTTCTGGGTAGGTGCCCCGCTAGCCAAACGAGAAGGCTGGAGGTTGACGAATGTGACGGGAGGTGCCCCACAGCGAGCCCCAACGTGCGCTCTCAGCCTATCAGATGTCGTCAGCTACGGGAGCTCCGCGGGCAGCTCGTCCCTCGTGCTTGCCACGCCAGTGATTCGGAGCTCCATGCGTCTCACAACTTTGGACGGTAAACACTTTAAAAAAGGGAAAGCACGGCCAACGCTTTCTGTAACGCAGCTGCTTCGAGGAGAACATTTGCAGCTGCCACTTCCTGTCTCGGAAGGTGATTTGATCACGGCGGTCCATTGCCTCCTGCCTTTCCAAATCAGGGGCAGGGAAAGGCAATGCACATGACCGTGACTCTTTCCCATGATCCACCGACGGATACGATAAAGCTGTCTAATCTGCCAAAGAATGCCTTTCATATATTAAATCTTCGATAAAACATGTACAACAGTACTGCTGAGCTTTACATCATTTTAAAACTGACCAGAATTGTCTCTTCAGGCACTCCTCGGCCATCAGAGTGGGCCGTTTTGCTAGATCGAATCGCACGTGCCCCACCCTCACGGCTTTCAGCTCCCTAATTATCTAACTTGACGCCAGGCTTTCGCCAGGTTGACGAACGTCGACCTGCTTCTCTCTCATAGACGTTCCCACCTTTGGCGCACATTCACACCTGCCTCTAGGGCGGCACACTTCTCACAAGAGACTATGTCTGCGGACCTCTTTGCCCAGTTTGGCCCGTTCTCCGGCGGCAATCCCCCGGCAAACCAGCAGCAGGGTCAAGGCCAGACGCAGGCGCAGACGCAGACGCACACTGGCCCAGCGGCCCAGAAATCCGATGACCCGTTTGCCTTGCTCAGCACGGCGTTTTCGCAGCCATCTTCGTCACCAGTACCGCAACAACAACCACAAGCACCCGTCTCCCAATCCAATACACCGCGGCCGCAGCAATGGTCTTTTGGAGCACCACTGCAGCCGACCCAGCCGGCATTAAACTGGGGCAGCAGTGGCGCGGGCGCGTGGGGTGCGCCGGTAACCTCAGGAGCTCCGGCAGGTGAGGACGACGAGGATGACGATACCTGGGGTGACTTTGAGGAAGCTTCGACAGCAACAGAAGCAGGTCCACCACCGGTGGTAGCCCCGCCGACGTATCAGGCAAGCCAGCCAGCTGCTCCTCCGTCCCAGCCCCAGGAACCGGCACGAACGCGTATCGTCCGGGCGTCGACAATGGACCTCATCTCAAATACACTCGTTAATTTCGGCGATGCGCCAGTTACCAAGTCTCAACCGCCCGTAGCAGAACCGGCTACAAGTCCGCAGCCTCCGCCGCGTGATCCTTGGCGGAACCCCGTCCCGGTGCCCGCGCCAAAGGCGAAGCCGAAGCCAAACAAACTGGCCGATCCGAATGTCTTGTTCGATGCTGACGACTTTGATGTGGATGCTAGTTTTGATAGTGATGAGGATTATGAGGATGATGAATTTGGAGACTTTGAAACGGGTCATGCCTCGCCACCGCGGCCAGCAATGGCCACCTCAAGCCATTTCTCGTCTCGCCCACCCGCTTCATCACGATCTTCAGCTACGCAACAAGCAGCGACACCAGCTTCAGGTACGGCACTCGTCGATCTCTTGTCTCTGGACGAACCTGGACCTGCTGTGATGTCATCTTCGCTCCCTGTTTCTCAGCCGCACGGCACGTCTACACAAAACCGATCAGCTGCCAACCTTTTATCACCACTCAGCTTTGGTAGCACGTCCATGACAGCTCAAGCCAACCCACAAGCACCCAAATCACCTTCTTTTCAAGAGCGAAACCCCTTCCCTGGCCTCGCCGTTACAACTCCCGTCTCGGCTGAGTTTCCTTCGGAAACGGTCAAGAATCGCACACCATCGCCTGTGACCGCCTGGCCGAGCTTGGACGCACCTGCGACCTCAGCAGCGGCCAGAAAAAAGAGTGCTCCGCCGCCAACAGAAGACGCCGATTGGGATGCTTGGGGCGTTGAAGGCCCTGCACCTTCACAAGCAGAGCCCGGTCAAACGAAGAAGCTACCGGCTCCGACAAAAACACAGCCAAAGCCCCAAACGAAGAAGACGACCGCGGTTCCTAAGCCAACGCCAGTGACGTCCGATTGGGATTGGGATGCTGAGGAGCCAACCCAAGAACCTGACCCGACAACATCGACAGCACAGCTTCCACCGGCCATTGCCAATGCCGCAGCACCCAGTACGATATCCGATAAGACGCCACCGCCGACGAACGTTCCTCCGCCATCCGTGCTGCTTTCCTTATTCCCAACACTGATGGCTCTCCCGGATGAGGCACTATTTAAGCCAATATCTGCACAGCCAGTGGAGATTCGAAACCGCGTTATAGGCGACCCTAAGACCATCGCCTTCCTGCGCAACTACCTGCAAATTATTGTCGTAGCTGGCCGTGTCGTTGCTGGCCGGAAACAGCGCTGGCACCGCGACAAGTTTCTCTCCCAGAGCATGTCCATCTCAGCTGCAGGCAGCAGCAAAGGTGGCGGCATGAAGCTCGCTGGCCTGGACAAGGCACAGGGCCAGCGCGAAGATCGCGAGGCTGCTGATGTAGTTGCTGCTTGGCGCCGCCACGTCGGCAAGCTGCGCAGTACCGTGGCCACGGCCAATGCGGCCCTGGTAGCGGCCGAGGCGGCCGATCATAAACATTACCCTCCTCTCAAGATCCCGGAGCTGCAGAGTGCCACCATCCCTGTTACCATCGCCAAAAAGGTGCCCACGTCCACCAAGCCGTGTGTCATCTGCGGTCTCAAGCGCGATGAGCGCGTGCGTGGTATCGATGGCGACGATGTCGATGATATTTTCAGCGAATGGTGGGTGGAGCACTGGGGCCATCGCGTGTGTAAGAACTTTTGGGCAGAACACGAGGCTGCACTACGTTCACGGTAGATTTTGAAAGCGTACGGTACTGTAAGACGACATGGTGGCGGAAAATGAGCATAGAGTTTGACGTCCATGTCTTGGATATCATCCATCCGATGATATTCTGAATTAGAGCTACTAGGCAGGACGCACCGCATCGATAGAGTGCTGCCCAACATACCGCACATATGTACAACCATCAAACGGCACCAACAGCCTTTATTTCGCTGTCTCATTTAGTGTGCAACCGCAGAGTACTAGAATCTGATCAGTTGACTCCTCCTTCCTTAAATCGCGCTCTTTTGTCACCAAAGTTGAAATTTATTGAAATTTACCTCCGGGACGGTGGTCTTCTGGTCAAAACGAAATTATTATACTTGAGAGGTTTTGCTTGCAAACATTAATAGTATTGAAAGTGCAAAAGGTCAGCGAGGTGAGCACATGACGAGCCGAAATTACCCACCTGTCTTGCCGGCATGAAGCGGGACCATTGGCAGAAGGATGACGCGCCCAACAGCAAGGACGTCCGGTCGCTCTTTCCTACGATTCGCAGAACCGACAGATGTGATTGCGAATACGGACGCTGCAACGAGGCAAGGTCCACCCGTTTTTGAACAAAGCCGTGCGTCGTGCCTTCCCCGCGACGCATGCTTTTGTTTGGGGGGCGAGGGGAAAGCATGCGGCCTGTTCCTTCCTTGACGACGATTGGGTGGATTGACCAGGAAGCTGCATGCAGGAGGCAGGAAGTAGCACCGAGTCCAGCAAGGAGCAGCTGCAGTCCCCATCCATGCTCCAAAGGGTGATTCGCACACGACACGTAAAAATCCGCAAGTTTTGGGGGCATCTTGAGAGGCCATGCGAGACGATTTGAAAAACGGCCGTACTCTGGATACTCGCGGCCGGTCCTCCCGCCCCACCCCCCATTACCTCCCCCATCACACTCTTAGCTGCATTTTGTTGCGTCCGTTTGCTCTTGCCCCGTTCAGTTTGCTCCTTCCCTCGCCTGCTTGCCTTCTCTATTGTGTCTCTGAGCTCCACATGCGCTCTGCTCTTTCCCTTCTCTCATCCACATTCGCTACTTCCTCATCACAATCGAGCCATTCACTCCTTCCGTACTGTGCGCATCCGCCCACCTGCCTTATTTCCCTTACCGTCGACGTATTCTCCTCCCCAGCGGCCTTTTGGTCTTTTCCCTTTTCTTTTATTCTCCTTTCCCTCCTTTCCTCTCTCCTCTCCCCTTCTCCTCGTCATCGTTTTGCTCCTTCGCCAAGATACCACCTTATAGCAAACCCTCTCCGTACAGCACAGAACGCGGCTTGTTTCCCGACTCCATTCATCTTGTCAATCTGACTCCGTTGCTGTCCTTCAAAATAGCTCCGGCACTTTGTGATCGACTACCCATTGATCCGTCTGCGTGTGGGCCGTTTCCGAAGCTGCCCTCTCCACCTTGCCCGGCTCTGCCCCATCGCAATCGACAATCGTCGACCTCGTCCCGATTGCTTCAAAGATCGGTTAGTATCTCGGCCTGATGCTACCAAGTGTGCCAATTCTCATCATGTGTTTCTGTCAATTTCGCTACAAGTGAAAGCTAACAAGCGCACCACTTGCAAGGTTAAAAGGGCAAGCAACCATTCTTCGATCGCCTTGCAATATCCCGGTGTCGGAAACAGTGAGGCCCCGAGATATTCAATGCACTAACAAAATCCTTTTTGAGCTTCAGCCTTCGCTCCCGTCCATCCTGGACTTCTGGGACAACCAACCCCACTGTGCAAATCATCAGTCACCCTAACAATACCAGGGTCTCACGGACTTGTAAGTCGTCTAGTCTTTTGTCTTGCCACAACAACAATACCTTATTTTCACATTTGATCCTTGCCCTAAGCCATTTCTGCGCCTCAACACGCTCGCAAATTCATCTTGTACACTATCGCAGCGCCTGCCCCCGCCATTCACAGTTGACCTTGGCTAGACTATTGGGTCTTGACAGGCTCGCAAGGAAACAGCACAGCCAAAGCAGTCCCATTACGACTAAAGCGTGCTTATGCCTGGTGTCTCAAGCGGTCGTTATCTGTTCGCGTAGACTCAAAGTGGAGTCATGAGAAGGAACTTGACGTGTTTACAAAGCGGCATCTGACGGAAGCCGGGACGGCACTGCTCGTCATGTCTGAATCTTTCCCACCGAAGTGCTCCTATCGCACGTATACCATACCCTCAAAGATCATCTGCATTTCGAGGATCTTTGTTTTGTTTTATTTCACAGTATTTCTTTCTACTTTCCCGTCTCAATCTCATCCACCACTGGAGTTGCATTGTCTTTCATTTTCAAGGCCTATTGCTCCTTGCACGCTGTTTTATTCCTTTTTTTGCCTACCCTTGTCGGCTTTGTGCGACTGCTCCGTACTCACCGCTTCAACCAATCAAACAAGCCACTAACTGTCTTCCACACTAGCTTTTCCGTAGAAGTGCCACTCCCCCACCACTACCAGCCCACACAAATTCTTCCTCACGCGCCGCCAACAAAAACGTCCCCTCACTTTTTTGTTTGGGTTTTCCATCAACCCTCTTCTCTCTCCAACAAGGACAAAAGATAACTACATCCCATCTTCTGACCGGCATCACCCTCTCCTTCCTTCCCCTCTCCCACCTCCCTCCTCCCCGACCTCACCGACTCACCTTATTCTCCCTCACGTCTTCTCTATCCCGTCTTCTTTCTGCCTCCCTTCGTCTCACTTCTCGCGACCCTACGGCCACCTCTTTCTTCCGCCAACTTCCCCGCTTCTTCGTCTCACACCACCTCCCTCGAAACATATCCCCCAAACAACAAAATGTCTGCTCAAGATGGCAACGGCAACGATGTCGCGGACCTCTCCGACCATATGAAGATCGATGACGACCGCCTCGGCCCCGACGGCGAGATCGTCCCCAAGACCGACGAAGAATATGCGCAGACCCAGCTGACGTTGCGCGCGATCGTTTCGTCAAAGGAAGCCGGTGTTATCATCGGCAAGGCCGGCAAGAATGTCGCAGACCTTCGCGACGAGACCGGTGTCAAGGCCGGTGTCAGCAAAGTTGTTCAGGGTGTGCACGACCGCGTCCTGACCATCACTGGCGGCTGCGAGGCCATCGCAAAGGCCTACTCCATTGTTGCAGCTGCCCTTCTCGAAGGTGTTCCGACCATGGGTATGGGTGGTGTCGTCCAAGGAAACGGTACTCATCGTAAGTCGATGCGACGTCCCGCCCTTGCAATTATTGCCTGGATTACTCACTACATATATTTCTCCTTGTACTAACCAAGCCAGCCATCAAACTACTTATCTCTCACAATCAGATGGGCACCATCATCGGCCGTGGCGGCCTAAAGATCAAGCACATCCAGGATGCTTCCGGCGTTCGCATGGTTGCCCAAAAGGACATGCTCCCCCAATCGACGGAGCGCATTGTCGAGATTCAAGGCACCCCCGACGGTATCCGCAGCGCCATCTGGGAAATCTGCAAGTGCCTCGTCGATGATTGGCAACGCGGTACCGGCACCGTTCTGTACAACCCTGCTGTTCGCACCCAGAGCGGCAGCGCCCCGACCGTTTCGTCTGCTCCGTCTTCGAGCTTCAACTCTGCGCCGCGCGGCGATTACGGCAACTCGTCCCGTGTGACGCGCACAGGAAATGGCGCTGATTTCAGCAACGGTGGCGCTCCTCGTTCGAACAACCGCCGCTCTGACTCGGACGCTGCTGCCCGTGGCCCCCCCACGCAGGATGAGCATGGAGCTGAGCTCCAGACGCAGAACATCAGCATCCCCGCTGACATGGTGGGCTGCATTATCGGACGTGCGGGCACTAAGATCAGCGAGATTCGCAAGACTTCTGGCGCACGGATCTCCATTGCAAAGGTATGTTGGCAGCCAGTCCCGTAGCCTCGAAATACTCAGGTACAACAGACGACTAACGTAGATTAGGCACCTCACGATGAGACTGGTGAGAGAATGTTCACCATCATGGGAACCTCCAAGGCGAATGAAACGGCACTTTTCCTCCTGTACGAAAACCTCGAGGCCGAGAAGATGCGCAGAAGCCAGGCTGTGCAGTCTCCTGAGTAATTGCGACAATCCCGATTGGCGGCTATCCAACCCGCCTTCCTTCATCCTTGGTACAGCAAGAACCATGGTTGACTTTGTTGACGTTTCCTTGTATCTTTCCTCCGGCGTCTCTCCTGATAATATTTATTGTCTACTCGAATTCGGCAACCCTTCGACCTTTGATTCATCACCAGATCCGGCTTGCCGCGAGGCTGAACTTTTTTCTTAACGGCGAGCCCTCGAGGGCGGTACAAAAATGATATTACGACAAGGCTCATCGATTTACTCTGCGCGTGTTTGCACCGGCTAACTCTTATTTTTCCCCTTCCCATGTTCCTCGTTCTTTTGCCCCATTCACTGAAAAACTACGCCTCGTCGGCACGCTCCCCTGTCTTATTTAACCTGTTTCCCTGTCTTTGTCAAAGTGGTTTTGCTTCCTTTCCCTCTACCACAAATCGTTCTTCTCGAATGCTCAGTCGACATTTTACTACAGCGGTCTTAACGTTCTGCAATGGCGAAGCTGGTTGGGCATGGATGGTCAAAAAAGGGTGTTTATTTGTTCTGTTTTTAACAATTTGCTTACTTTGTCTCGGCGATGATTTATGATTTTTTCAATCCACCAAAAAAACAAGAGGAGATGACAAAACAACTCTCCCTAGAACGTTTTTCACCTCACTCACACTCCCTCCGGCAATTTTTCTCTCTGTCCGCCTCGCTTCTTTCGTCCCGATATTTTCAAGCTCCTGTTCTCCTAGTCGTCAGATATCTTTTAGGCCAAAACTGTATCTCATCGAGCACACGAGAAACATCCCACTCTCGTCTTCAACTGGTTTCCTACTCGGATTATCAACCCACGTTCTCATGCCAACCCTCCTTCTCTCGTCTCCGTCGGTCATTTCGCCTCAGACCTACGCAACACGCCTTCGAGCATGTAACCCCTCGCGTAGCTTTATTTCGATGGCTCTAACGAGGAACCGGGACGAGGTGACAACGGATAGCCATGAGCTCGCCAGTGTCTATTTTTTTTTTCTTGTCTCCGCTCACTCTCGATACTATCCAAATTACTCAAAATTTCCGTTCATATTCTGCGTTGTTGTTTGCCGGCGTTCAATGTACATGTTTACCTCGCATCAGCGGCAGACTCTCAAATACAATGGTCGAAACGGGCCAAAAGGGAATTGACAGTAATACTCAAAACGTTGCAGAAAAAGAGCCATTTCTACAGGTGACCGTTTTTGCGCGATGCCTTGTCAAGGTGGCTTCTGATATTCAATGTAGTGCGGAACTATCGTTATCAACAGAAGGCTACAAATAGCTGTGTGACCCACACACCGCCTTCTGAAAACGGCCTGAATGGCCACCTGGCTGGTTTCGTTTCTGCCACTACTTTCCCCCCCGAAACCTCAATGCCAGGCTGTCCGCTCAACTATTAAGGAGCTACCTCAAATCAACGCGCCGCCACGCGCAAAGCCTCATATTCTCGCCTAGCGCAGCAGCCCTCAACGATACTGTAGTGGCGTGTACATCTTGTCGCTCCTTTCGTCTTTGGTCTTCCGTTCTTCGTTGCTCGTTTCTTTTCTGTAAACTGGACTTTCGAATCCTTTCTTTCCGTGCGAACCGTATCGACACTCTCGGAAGCCGCTGGCGGTCGTCCTAGCTCTCTGCGACACACACTCTCCTTTAGTCCCCCTTCGTCCTTTTCGACTTCCAGAATGGCGCGCACCAAGCAGGCGGCGCCTGTCCGTCGCGAGCCATCATCCGAGTATGTCAGC